TCGTGGGGGGGGAGAGGAGGGAAGAGGGAAGAGGGGGAGGGGGGAAGAAGGAGAAAGACAACAAAATGAACAAATAAGTAGTACACATAGTATTATAGTATTTTAGGAAGCAAATTAGACAACACTGGAAACTATAATTGAATAAGAAACATAATATATCCCCAATTCAAGCTAACCATATTCAAGCTAGAACCCTTTTGAGAGTAAAAGGAAGTATCACTTAAAAAAAAAAAACTGTGCTGGAAGCCAAGTGCTGGTGGCTCACATCTATTAGCCTAGCTACTCAGGAGGCTGACCTCTAAGGATCAAGGTATCAAGTCAGCCTGGACAGATGAAACTCTTATCTCTAATTAAACAGCAAGAAAAAAGCTGGAAGTTGGGCTGGGAAGGTGGCTCAAGTGGTAGAGCGCTAGCCTAGAGCTAAGGGACAGCACCCAGGCCCACAACGAGACCAAAAGAAAAAAGAAAAAAAGCTGGAAGTGGAGGTGTGGCTCATATGGTACAGCACCAAGGTTGAATGAAAAAGCTAATCAAGAGCAGGAAGCTCTCAGTTCAAGCCCTGTACAGGCAGGCAGGCAGGCAGGCAGGCAGGCAGGCAGACGTGTATATGAGTGTGCACATGCACAAACACACACAAACATGAACTATTCTGGGACAAGGAGTTCTTTGCTCTCATTTCCTGAGTGGGGAGTAGGAAATGTTTCTTCCATTTCTTCCTGTTAGATCTTTCTTCATTGTTAGATCTTTGCTGAATTTTTAAAAAATGCTAGGACAATAGGCACAAACCATTTGGCCCAAACAAACTGGGACAAATATTTACTTTCCTAAATCTTTCTGCGATTTCTTTCTATAAAAACCATCAACTAGAGCCAGGTGCCATGGCTCATGCCCGTGACTCTAAATATTCAGAAAGCTGAGATCTGAGGTTCATAGTTTGAAGTCAGCCTGGGCAGGAAAGTTCTTGAGACTCCTACCAAAAATAGCCAGAAGTGGAGGAGTGGCTCCAGTGGTAGATCACTAGCCTTGAGACAAAGGAGCTTGAGCACCCAGGTCCTGAGTTCAAGCCCTAGGACTGGCACCAAAAAGAAAGGAAGAAGGAAGGAAGGAAGGTAGGGAGGGAGGAAGAAAGAGAGAGCGAGAGAGAGAGAAAGAGAAAAAAATAAAAACCTTGTCAACAGGAATAGCCAGTAATAAGAAATCCTAAAAATGTTAATGTGAGTGTCCAACTGTGGTAAACAAACTGTGTCATGCTGTTTCAATCCTCCCTTCAGAAAATGATCATCCGCACTTACTCATCAGGGTCATGTGGCTTGCTCTCCAAGGAACCACCATCAAAAGCCTGTAAGAGCATCACCTTACCTCTGGCATGGCAGCCAGCAAAGGTCACCAATTCTCCACACGTCCACATTCCTGAGCACGGACAACACAGAGCAGGGCCCCAGACAACAGCTTGCAACCGGATGAGACGTAAACCTTTGTTATCTGAAGTCATTGAGATCTGGGGCCATTTGACTACAAAATAACCTAGTCCAGACTACCGATAAGCCGTCCAGCAAGGCTGCAGACATAGAATGATCAGTGAACTCCATCAACTAGTGCAGTATAAACAAATTTAATATCCTTCTAATTACCTAAGTTTCCAAACATGTCTACTAACAGGGAACGAAAAATTATTAATGTGGAATTTTAAAGATTCTTGTTCTCAAAGCTATTTTTTTTTTCAGAAACTGGACAATTCTCTCCATTAATGAATATTACACAATAAAGACTTTTTTTTTTTTTTTTTGGCCTGAACTCTGGGCCTGGGTGCTGTCCCTCAGCTCTTGGGCTCAAGGCTAGCACTCTGCCACTTTGAGCCACAGCACCACTTCCAGCTCTGTTTATATGGTACTGAGGAACGGAACCCAGGGCTTCATGCGTGCTAGGCAAGCACTCTACCACTGAGCCACTTCCCAGCCCCATAAAAGCTTCTTGAAAAAGTCTTGAAGCCTCTCCTTTTAAAAGATACTCTGAGCGGGGTGCTGGTGGCTCACGCCTGTAATCCTAGCTACTCAGGAGGCTGAGATCTGAGGATCGTGGTTCAAAGCCAGCCCGGGCAGGAGAGACCGTGAGACTCCTATCTCCAATAAACCACCAGAAAACTGGAAGTGGCGCTGTAGCTCAAGTGGTAGAGCCCTCGCCTTGAGCTGAAGAGCTGAGGGTCAGCGCCCAGGCCCAGAGTTCAAGCCCCACGACCAACAAAAAAAAAAGATACTCTGTAATAACAATAACTACCTTTTGTTTCCTTCTGGACTAATAATTATTAGTCTAGGTCACTGTAAGGGAAGAGACTAGAAAAGCAGACTGGCTAAAATGTAGAAGTCCCAGATGCTGAGTTAGGAATCCAGGAAGCCATTCACTGGAAAGTTCTATTCAGGAATAAAAGATGAAAAGCTACTGAAAATTATTTATATGTTAGTTGCAAAATTAGGATAACTGGAACAGGATTAAGAAAAGTGTGACAGACCGGTGTCCACAGAAGTAGGGCTGGAGGCGTGGCTTGAGCAGTATGGTGCCCGCTTCCCATAAGAACAAAAGAAACCAGCAGAGGCTGGCCATTGAACACTGCCAGCCCCAGCACCGCTGACACTTTCTGCGTGCTTCTTATGGCTGTCCAACTGTAGGATGTGTACCAGTGTTGCTGGTGTGAAGCCAGTAAGTAAACAGTCAGTAGCCACAGGTGTCCTCCCCCTCCCACCACCACTCCGGTGACATTTCCAAACATTCGGTGACATTTCCAAACATTCCCTAAAGGGAAAAATGCATCCAGTTGAGAACCACTGACTTAAAATTTTAAAACCTGCGGAGCACCAGTGGCCACACCTGTAATCCACACTACTCTGGAGGCTGAGATCTGAGGATCGCAGTTCAAAGGCCGTGCAGGCAAGATAGTCTGTGAGATTCTTACCTCCAATAAGCCACTCAGAAAACGCTTGAAGTGAGGATGTGGCTCAAGTGGTAGAGCATTAGTCTTGAGCACAAACAGGCTCAGGGATCTGCTGGGCCCTGAGTTCAAGCCCCAAGAATGGCAAAAAATAAAAATAAAAAATAAAGATTAAACTCCCTAATCCCATCTTCTCTCTTGCGGACCTAGTCGGCTCTGGCGCTGAGGTATTCAATGCTTCTCAGCCTTGCTCTCTGCGGACGTGCACACTAACAGACCTAGTCGGCTCTGGCACTGAGGTATACAATGCTTCTCAGTCTTGCCTCACAAACTTACTCAGCAGGAACTTTCCAAATAGACCATGCTGGCTGTTCTAAAGAAAAATCCCAATTCCAAGTCTTTGAACAGTTCCTCACTAAAATTCCCACCTACCCTGTAATTGATGCCTTCCACTGTTGGTTTTGCAGAAGATTCATTCATCCAGCATGTGTCTACTGCACAAACAAAGCGCATCACATTCACTTTTGGTCGCTGCTTATCTTAAAAACCAGATTTGCCTCCTGGTTTCTTTAGTATACAATCTGTCTGACATAGTCCCAAGCACAGAGATGACTTTAAGCTTGATTACTAATGAGCAAAAAATGGTACCTCAGAGTACAGACATGGCTTCTGTGAAACCTCGCTCACCGGGCTGCGTGTGTCCTACACCAGCTCACACGGGGGCACTTGGGTCTTCTAGACGTGCGCTGGTGCTTGGCGTTCGGTAGAGCAGCGCTGCGACAGCTTCAGCGCTGAGACACCAGCCAGGCACCGCGGCGCACGCCTAGAGTCCTGGCCACCTTTCAAGAGGCTGAGACCTGAGCACTGTGGTTCGAAACCAGCCTAGGCAAGAAACTCTGTGAGCTTTTTCTCCAATACACAAACGACTCAGAAAAGAAAGCCGGAAGTGGAGCTGAGGCTCCAGCGAGAGCGCTGGCCTGGGCGAGCCGCGGCCCCGCCGCCTCCGCCGCGCCCGGCCGCCCGCGGCCTCGGCGGTCAGCCCGGGCCCCGCGCCTCCGCCGCCCGCGGCCTCGGCGGTCAGCCCGGGCCCCGCCGCCCCCGCGCCTGGCCGCCCGCGGCCTCGGCGGTCAGCCCGGGCCCCGCGCCTCCGCCGCCCGCGGCCTCGGCGGTCAGCCCGGGCCCCGCGCCTCCGCCGCCCGCGGCCTCGGCGGTCAGCCCGGGCCCCGCGCCTCCGCCGCCCGCGGCCTCGGCGGTCAGCCCGGGCCCCGCGCCTCCGCCGCCCGGCCGCCCGCGGCCTCGGCGGTCAGCCCGGGCCCCGCGCCTCCGCCGCCCGCGGCCTCGGCGGTCAGCCCGGGCCCCGCGCCTCCGCCGCCCGCGGCCTCGGCGGTCAGCCCGGGCCCCGCGCCTCCGCCGCCCGCGGCCTCGGCGGTCAGCCCGGGCCCCGCGCCTCCGCCGCCCGCGGCCTCGGCGGTCAGCCCGGGCCCCGCGCCTCCGCCGCCCGGCCGCCCGCGGCCTCGGCGGTCAGCCCGGGCCCCGCGCCTCCGCCGCCCGCGGCCTCGGCGGTCAGCCCGGGCCCCGCGCCTCCGCCGCCCGCGGCCTCGGCGGTCAGCCCGGGCCCCGCGCCTCCGCCGCCCGCGGCCTCGGCGGTCAGCCCGGGCCCCGCGCCTCCGCCGCCCGCGGCCTCGGCGGTCAGCCCGGGCCCCGCGCCTCCGCCGCCCGCGGCCTCGGCGGTCAGCCCGAGCTCGCCCCGCGCTCGGCCGGGCGCCGCCGTCCCGGGACCGGGCGTGCTCCTCGCCCTCGCGGTCCGCGGCCCGTCGCGGCCTTCCCCGGGCGCCCAGCGGTCGGTGCGCCTCGGCTGCCGCGCGGTCCTCCGCGGGCCAGGCCCGGGCCCGGCCTCGGGACCAAAGCCGGTCAGTCCGGGCGCCCGGCCGGCCCCGCCTGCGACCCCGGCCCCGCCCGGCGACCCCGCCGCCGCCCGCGTCCGCCCCACCCCGCCCGCCGGGCCTGCGGGGCCTGCGGGCGCGTCCGGCCGCACGGCCGGCGGGCGCGGCGTCCCGCTCGACCCGCCGTCACTTACCGGCGCCTCATGGTGCCGCGACGTCCCAGCCCAGCCCCGCGCCGACGGACGCGCTCGGCAGCCCGGAGCAGCCCTCAGCTCCCGGCCGGGCCCGACTCGCAGCCATTCAAACGCCGCCGCGCGCGCGGCATGCCGGGAAAGCTCGGGCCGGCATCCCGCGGCCCCACCCATCGCGGGCCGCGGCCCCGCCCGGCAAGGCTCTGTTCCCAGGCCCCGCCCATCGCAGGCCGTGGCCCCGCCCGGCAAGGCTCTGTTCCCAGGCCCCGCCCATCGCAGGCCGTGGCCCCGCCCGGCAAGGCTCTGTTCCCAGGCCCCGCCCATCGCAGGCCTGGCCCCGCCCCCACCGCCGGGCGCCCGGGGACAGGGAGCCGCGGTGCCCCCTGGCGGCCGCGGGCGCGCACGACGCCTGGCTCGGGGCCGGCCCGCGGGTCCCGGGCGGCGCGGATTGGTCCTATCGCATCTGGACGCCCCGGGCGCGCCCAGAGAGCAAAGCGCTCCGGGCGGGGAAGGGGCCCTGGGTTCGAGTCCTCCGCAGCACAGCAGAAGGAGCCGGAAGTGGCTCCGTGGCTCAAGCGGCAGAGCGCCGGCCTGGAGCCCAAGAGCTGAGGGACGGCGCCCGGGCCGAGCGCAAGACCCAGGACCGACCAGCGGGGATTGGAGACAAAAGCACACGGGGCACGCCGCGGCTCGGGGCGGGTCACCGCGCCGCGGGCCTGGGGTCACCGGCGCCCCCCGCCGCGGGCCTGGGGTCACGGGCGCACCCCCCCGCCGCGGGCCTGGGGTCACGGGCGCACCCCCCCGCCGCGGGCCTGGGGTCACGGGCGCACCCCCCGCCGCGGGCCTGGGGTCACGGGCGCACCCCGCCGCGGGCCTGGGGTCACCGGCGCCCCCCGCCGCGGGCCTGGGGTCACGGGCGCACCCCCCGCCGCGGGCCTGGGGTCACGGGCGCACCCCCCGCCGCGGGCCTGGGGTCACGGGCGCACCCCCCGCCGCGGGCCTGGGGTCACGGGCGCACCCCGCCGCGGGCCTGGGGTCACCGGCGCCCCCCGCCGCGGGCCTGGGGTCACGGGCGCACCCCCCGCCGCGGGCCTGGGGTCACGGGCGCACCCCCCGCCGCGGGCCTGGGGTCACGGGCGCACCCCCCGCCGCGGGCCTGGGGTCACGGGCGCACCCCGCCGCGGGCCTGGGGTCACCGGCGCCCCCCGCCGCGGGCCTGGGGTCACGGGCGCACCCCCCGCCGCGGGCCTGGGGTCACGGGCGCACCCCCCGCCGCGGGCCTGGGGTCACGGGCGCACCCCGCCGCCGCGGGCCTGGGGTCACGGGCGCACCCCGCCGCCGCGGGCCTGGGGCAGGGCGAGGGTACATCGTCCGTGGCCGTCGGAGGACCTCGACAGGCTGGTTCTCGCCCCACGCGGGGCTCTGCGTGTCGATGAAGACTCGGGTGCCCGCAAGGGCGGCGGGAAACACTTCAGAGCGCGTTGCCGGCGCAGCGCGAGCGCGCCCGGCCGACGTGTGCGCCGGGCCCGGGAGCGCGCCCGGCCTACGTGTGCGCCGGGCCCGGGAGCGCGCCCGGCCGACGTGTGCGCCGCGCCCCCTAGCGCCCCGCCGGCGAGCCCAGGAGCCGGGCCCGGGAGCGCGCACGGCCGACGTGTGCGCCGCGCCCCCTAGCGCCCCGCCGGCGAGCCCAGGAGCCGGGCCCGGGAGCGCGCACGGCCTACGTGCCCCTTAGCGCCCCCTAGCTTGACTAGCTAGTTTTACAGGTGTGAACACTTTTTTTTTTTGGTCGGCCATGGGGCCTGAACTCTGGGCCTGGGTGCTGTCCCTCAGCTCTTCAGCTCAAGGCGAGCGCTCTACCACTTGAGCCACAGCGCCACTTCCGGTTTTCTGGTGGTTTATTGGAGATAAAGAGTCTCACGGTCTCTCCTGCCCTGGCTGGCTTTGAACCGCGATCCTCAGATCTCAGCCTCCTGAGTAGCTAGGATTACACGCATGAGCCACCGGTGCCTGGCAAGCACACACATTTTTCTTAAAATCCCAACATGAGGGGCTGGGAAGGTGGCTTATTGGTAGAGCCCTTGCCTTGCATGCCTGAGGGCCTGTATTGGATTCCTCAGCACCCCAGAAGCAGAAAAAGCCAGAACTGGAGCTGTGGCTCTAGTGGTAGAGCACTAGAAGAGCTGAGGGACAGCACCAAGGCCCAGAGTTCAGGCACCACGACCGAAAACAACAACAAGGGGCTGGGAAGGTGGCTCAGTGGTAGAGCGTTTGCCTAGCATGCATGAGGCCCTGGGTTCGATTCCTCAGCACCACATAAACAGAAAAAGCCGGAAATGGGGCTGACGCTCAAGTAGTAGAGTGCTAGCCTTCAGCTGAAGAGCTGAGGGACAGCGCCCAGGCCCAGCTTTCAGGCCCTACAACCGACCAAAAAAAAAAAAAATGTAGGAACAACCTAAATGCCCACCAACTGGGGACTCACTAAATTATAACGCACTCTGAAGCCTTGAAAAAGAATGAGGTAGATTGTTCTATGGATATGGAAGACATCCAATGCAGGTAAGTAAAAAGAGCAAGTTAGTGGCCAGCATTTAGTACAATCCTAGAGCAAGTTAGTGGCCAGCATTTAGTACAGTCCTAATTATGCAATGAATAAACAGTCCCACAATTATGTACATGGTATAAGAGATGACTTTTTTTTTGTCTTCCAAGTAGTAAAAAAGCATTGGTTGTTCAACTCTTCATCATCCCACTTCATTCTTGTATTTATCTGCTTGGACTGTCACAGTCAAGTAATGAGGGGCTTCAATAACCAAAATTTATTTTCATGAAGTTGTGGAAATGGAGAACAAGATGAAGATGGCTGCTCAATGCTAGCTTGCAGACAGTCATTCTACTATAGGCTCACATGGTGGGAGTGAACAGAATTAAACGACAGCTCTTTCTCTAAGGACTGCACTTTTATGATCTCATCCAAGCCTAATTGGAGTCTGAGGAGGAGGGGATATGAGGCACTCTAAAATAATGCTTTATGTCTGAACTGGTTGAAGTTTTAAAATGTTAACACACAGGAAAAAAACTTTCCAAAACATTTGGATTCCTTATTGAGATACTTAATTTAGAGACAGCTTATCCCACTTCTGGGATAGCTGAAATTAATCCCCCAGATGAAGAGGTGCCAAACTTGAAGAGCCCTGGTGGCTACAGGTGCAGATCACTGTGACTCATCCCACAGTTGCTTTTCTTACCCTTAATTGACTCTGGGAACGGCAGCCTTCCAGGCTTTCTCAGCAAAGCCCGGAGGGCAGTGTAATGTAATGAGAACTTGTTAAAATGCGAATTGCACAATAACTCCTGAAACGAAGAAAAAAGTAACTGCTAAGGAAGAATGGTATTACCAAGCCATTCTTGCCCAGCATCAGACCACCATTTCATGACACCAGGGACAGGAACATTTCTTTTTTGCTGGTCCTGGGGCTTGACCTCAGGGCCTGGGCACTGTCCGAGCTTCTTTCGCTCAAGGCTAGCGCTCCACCGCGGAGCCAGGGCCAGTTCTTGATTGGAGATGAGTCTCGCGGACGCTCCCGTGCGGGCTCCGCCGCTGGCGAGCGAGGAGGGTGGGCGTGAGCCGCGGCGCCCGGCCGGCCCGGGAGCGTCTGACATGACAGAAACTGAAAGCAGAGCTCGTAATCCCCGCGGGGTGACGCGGCCGCGCCACGGTGACTTTCCAGAAAGCGCTTCGGCTGAACTGTCCTGAACATGCAAACGCGCGGAGGAGGGGCTTCGCCTCAAGACCCGGCTCCCACCCCGCGCTGCGGGGACCGGCCTTCCCCACCAGCCGAGGTGCACGGCCGGGGCGGGACCGGCCTTCCCCACGAGCCGCAGCCTGCGCGGGAGGTGCACGGCCGGGGCGGGACCGGCCTTCCCCACGAGCCGCAGCCTGCGCGGGAGGTGCACGGCCGGGGCGGGACTGGCCTTCCCCACGAGCCGCAGCCTGCGCGGGAGGTGCACGGCCTGGGCAGGGAGCCGGGCAGGCCGCGGGTAGGGAGCCGGGCAGGCCGCGGGCAGGCCGCCGGGCAGGGAGCCGGGCAGGCCGCGGGCAGGCCGCCGGGCAGGGAGCCGGGCAGGCCGCGGGTAGGGAGCCGGGCAGGCCGCGGGCAGGCCGCCGGGCAGGGAGCCGGGCAGGCCGCGGGTAGGGAGCCGGGCAGGGAGCCGGGCAGGCCGCGGGTAGGGAGCCGGGCAGGCCGCGGGCAGGGAGCCGGGCAGGCCGCGGGTAGGGAGCCGGGCAGGCCGCGGGCAGGCAGCCGGGCAGGCCGCCGGGCAGGCCGCGGGTAGGGAGCCGGGCAGGCCGCGGGCAGGGAGCCGGGCAGGCCGCGGGCAGGCAGCCGGGCAGGCCGCCGGGCAGGGAGCCGGGCAGGCCGCGGGCAGGCAGCCGGGCAGGGAGCCGGGCAGGGAGCCGGGCAGGCCGCCGGGCAGGGAGCCGGGCAGGCCGCGGGCAGGGAGCCGGGCAGGCCGCGGGCAGGGAGCCGGGCAGGCCGCCGGGCAGGGAGCCGGGCAGGCCGCGGGTAGGGAGCCGGGCAGGCCGCCGGGCAGGGAGCCGGGCAGGCCGCGGGTAGGGAGCCGGGCAGGCCGCGGGCAGGGAGCCGGGCAGGCAGCCGGGCAGGCCGCGGGCAGGGAGCCGGGCAGGGAGCCGGGCAGGCCGCGGGCAGGGAGCCGGGCAGGCCGCGGGTAGGGAGCCGGGCAGGCCGCGGGCAGGGAGCCGGGCAGGGAGCCGGGCAGGCCGCGGGCAGGGAGCCGGGCAGGCCGCGGGCAGGGAGCCGGGCAGGGAGCCGGGCAGGCCGCGGGCAGGCAGCCGGGCAGGCCGCCGGGCAGGCAGCCGGGCAGGCCGCGGGCAGGCAGCCGGGCAGGCCGCGGGCAGGCAGCCGGGCAGGCCGCCGGGCAGGCAGCCGGGCAGGCCGCGGGCAGGGAGCCGGGCAGGCCGCGGGCAGGCAGCCGGGCAGGCCGCCGGGCAGGCAGCCGGGCAGGCCGCGGGCAGGGAGCCGGGCAGGCCGCGGGCAGGGAGCCGGGCAGGCAGCCGGGCAGGGAGCCGGGCAGGCCGCGGGCAGGCAGCCGGGCAGGCAGCCGGGCAGGCCGCGGGCAGGCAGCCGGGCAGGCCGCGGGTAGGGAGCCGGGCAGGCCGCGGGCAGGGAGCCGGGCAGGCCGCGGGCAGGGAGCCGGGCAGGCCGCGGGCAGGGAGCCGGGCAGGGAGCCGGGCAGGCCGCGGGCAGGCAGCCGGGCAGGGAGCCGGGCAGGCAGCCGGGCAGGCCGCGGGCAGGCAGCCGGGCAGGCCGCGGGTAGGGAGCCGGGCAGGCCGCGGGCAGGGAGCCGGGCAGGCAGCCGGGCAGGCCGCGGGCAGGCAGCCGGGCAGGCCGCGGGCAGGCAGCCGGGCAGGCCGCGGGCAGGCAGCCGGGCAGGGAGCCGGGCAGGCAGCCGGGCAGGCCGCGGGCAGGGAGCCGGGCAGGCAGCCGGGCAGGCCGCGGGCAGGCAGCCGGGCAGGGAGCCGGGCAGGCAGCCGGGCAGGCCGCGGGCAGGGAGCCGGGCAGGCCGCGGGCAGGGAGCCGGGCAGGCCGCGGGCAGGGAGCCGGGCAGGGAGCCGGGCAGGCCGCGGGCAGGCAGCCGGGCAGGCCGCGGGCAGGCAGCCGGGCAGGGAGCCGGGCAGGCCGCGGGCAGGCAGCCGGGCAGGCCGCGGGCAGGGAGCCGGGCAGGCAGCCGGAGCCGCTCGGACCGCCCGGGCCCGGCCCACGGCCCGGCCTTTCCCGGTACCTCGGCGCCCACAGAGGTCTCGGAAAGCGTCCTCTACAGGGGGGGACCGGAACCGGGGAGGACCGGAACCGGATAGGACCGGAACCGAGGAGGCGGGCGCGGGGGGGCGCCGGGCCCTCGGAAGCGGCTCCAGGCCCGGAGCCGAGGGCCGGGGCGCCGCCGTCCCGGGACAGGCCGGGCAGACCCCTGACGCAGTCAGCGCCGTAAACGCGTCTCGCGGCCCGGGAACACGGCGGAGGCCTGGGGTCGGGCCCGGGGCGGCGGGCGGCCGCAGGCCAGCGCACCTTCCCTCGCTCTCTCTTCCGCCCATCCGACCGCACTTCCGGGGCGGCGGTGACGTCTCTGTCCGCGCGCCGGAAGCGCGGCGCGGCGGGGGCGCCGGGGGCGGGGCGCGCGCGGGCTCGGGACGCGGCGGCCATCATGACGGCTCCGGGCGGCCCGGTCGCCAGCCGCGGCCGGCGGTTCAAGTGGGCCATTGAGCTGAGCGGGCCCAGCGGAGGCAGCAGGTGAGGCGCCGGGCGCAGCTCGCCGCGGGTCCCTGGCGCGGGCCGGGCCGGCCCGCGGAGAGCGGAGAGCGGGGCCCCGGAGAGCGGAGCGCGGCCGCCGCGGGGCCCCGGCCTCGGCGTGCGGAGAGCGGAGCGCGGCCGCCGCGGGGCCCCGGCCTCGGCCTCGGGGAGGCCCCCTGCCTGCCCCTCCCCCTCCGCCGCCCCCCCCCACCCTTCCGCCTGCCCCCTCCCCCTCCTGCTCCTCCCCCACCCTTCCGCCTGCCCCTCCCCCTCCCGCCTCCCCCTCCCCCTCCTGCCCCTCCCCCTCCGCCTGCCCCTCCCCCTCCCGCCCCTCCCCCTCCCCCCTCCCGCCCCTCCGCCCCCCTCCTCCCCCTCCCGCCCCTCCCCCCTCCCGCCCCTCCGCCCCCTCCCCCCCCCCCCCCCCCCGCGGGCAGGGCGCGTGCGTCCTGTGGCTCGGGAGGCTGCAGCTGGGGTCTCTGGGCTCGGTCTTCAGGGGCCGGAGTGACCGGGGCAGCGGCCAGGGAGACTCACTGTACCCCGTCGGGTACTTGGACAAGCAGGTGCCGGACACCAGCGTGCAGGAGACGGACCGGATCCTGGTGGAGAAGGTACCGCCCGCCCCCGCCTTCCTGCCCGCGCCGCGCTCCGCAGCCGGCCTTCGCCCTGACTGCCCTGCCCCTCAGTCAGAATGCTTTACAACCGGAGAACAAGAAGTCCGGGCCGGACGTGGGCACCGCAGCCGCTCAGGAGGCTGAGATCTGAGGATCGCGGCTCAAAGCCAGGCCCTGAGACTCTGATCTCCAGTGAACCACCAGAAACCCGGAGGTGGCGCTGTGGGAGAGCGCTCGCCTTGAGCTGAAGAGCTGAGGGACAGCGCCCAGGCCCCGAGTTCAGGCCCCACGACCGACCCCCTCCCCCCAAAAAAACCCACAAACCAGTAAGATAAAGTGTGGAAGGAGGTCGGAAATGGTCGGTGGCAACACCTTCCAGTAGAGAATTCACCCTTTTCTACTTAAATTCCAGGACTCCACACGTGTAATCGGCCAGGATGTACTATAGGGCTTTAATTTACTGCCTTCATCCGTCATCCTGAACCCAGTCACCATCCCAATCTCAGATTGTTTGCAGTGGACTTAAGAACTCATGTGTGCTGTGTATGTATTTATGCCTACATATGTGTGCACACAGACACGCAAACACTGAATTCTTTTGAGGCGTAGTTTATGTACAATAGACCACTGCGCTCTCCACCTTAGCATTGTTGACATTGGGGCGTTGGTTGGGGGCTGGAGGGAGCTACGCGCTGTGTGCCAGTAGCTCTCTCTCCAAGTTGTGACAATGGCAGATGTTGTCTCCCATGGCACACTGCTTCCAGCTGGGATCCTCTAAACGATCTGGTGAGCTTTAACAGTCAGTATCCTCATGAAACCACTACTGCACCCCTTTCTGCAGTAAAATTCTAACTGGTCTCAATTCTACCTTGCACCTTTCTTTAATCCAATCTAACATAGCAGTCATCTGAGTCACATTAGTAATCCTAGTTACTAGGAAGTTGAGACTAAGAAGGATCACGGTCTAGGCTGGCCTAGGCAAAAACTCAAGACCCTATCTGAAAAACTTCTAAAGCAGAAAAGGGTTGGAGGTGTGGCTCACATGGTGAGCACCTGACTGGCAAGCTTGAGGTCCTCACTTCCAAGACCAGATAAAAGCAGGCCACATGCCAATCCTAGATGTTCAGGAGGCTGATAATTTGAGTATCACTGTTTTGAAGTAGGAAAAGTCTGAAATGCGTTTTCCAATTAACCACCCAAAAGCCGGAAGTGGACCTGTGGCTCAAGTGGTACAGCACTAGTACTGAGTGAAAAATCTCAAGGACAGCGCCAGGGCCCTGAGTTCCAGCCCCAGGACCAGTACAAAAAAATAAACAAACCTAAGTTCCATCGTTCCTACTCAGTTACTCTCTCAATTATTAGTGAACATTCTCTCATATCAGCCTTCTATTATGACAGTGATTTCATTATCTTGGAAACTGTCAGATATGTATCCCAGGTATCTAGAATGGTGCTTGAAAACTTTGTTCTCATTTCTCTTACTATTGCTTATTCCTATTTGACTTTTGTTTCGTGAAATGCATGTGGTTTTTCACATGAAAATGAAGAAGCCATTATAGATCTTTTTATTGCTAAGTATTATACTTTTTCATCTTGGCACATTAAGGTACATAAATACACAAATTATCAAACTATTTTAGAAAGTAGGTTATAAAATAACTTTATGACAATTCCATTGTATAGATGATTTGTAAGGAACCATATCAAATATAGTTCAGCTGTAGCTCCCGTACTTTGCTGTATGGGAGTTTGAACTCAGGGCCTCACTCTTGTTAAGCTTTTTCTGCTAAAGGATGTCACTTTACTACTTAAGCCACTCCTCCTCTTCCAGCTTTTTGCTGGCTAATTAGAGATGTCTCAGCTTTTATCTCCTTGAGCTAATTTTTTTTTTTTTATGGGGGGTCAGTCATGAGGCTTGAACTCTGGGCCTGGGCGCTGTCCCTGCTCTTCAGCTCAAGGCTAGTGCTCTACCACTTGAGCCACAGCGCCACTTGTGGGTTTCTAGTGGTTTACTGGAGATGAGTCTTGCCCGGGCTCCTCAGATCTCAGCCTCCTTAATAGCTAGGATTACAGGTGTGAGCCACCTCACATCTGGCTTAAGCTAGCTTTAAACCACCAAGATCCTCACATTTCAACACCTGAGCTAACCGTGTCTGGCAAATTTGATACTGTTATCAGTACTTTCCATATGATTTGATTCATAGAATACTCTTGCTAATTTCCATAGGGGATTTTCTAACTACTCTTGCACCCTGTTTTGGCAGTGTTTCTGTGTTTGAACTTAGAACCTCAGACTCACTGACCTTCTCACTCCAGGCTGGCACTATGCCACTTGAGTTACACCTCCACTTCTGGCTTTTGGTGTCTAATTGAAAATAAGAATCTCATGGACTTTACTGCCAGGCTGGCTTCAAACTTAAAATCTCCAGCCTCTGAATAGCTAGGATTGTAAGTGAGCCACTAGTATGCGGCTTGTAATTAACTTTTAACTATTGATTTCTAGCTTAATTTTACTGTGGTCAACAAAAACAGACTTTGTGTTTTAAGTTGAAATTCATTGACATTTTTCTACATGGATCAGTAAGTAGTCTGTTTCTCTAACTTGTGTTTGAAATGAATATGAATTACTCAATTATTGGGTACAATGTTATGTCAGTTGGATCATCTATTAAAACCTTAAAACCTGTTTTATCTGCTATTGACTGAGGTATACTGTCTTCAACTATGTGGATTTGCCTATTTCTTCAGTTACAAAAGGGGCAGTGATAAGCTGCCCAAGTATAAGAAGAAACGCAGGAAAATCTTTAGCTAAAATCACATGAAAGGAAAAAAAAGGTATCTGAGCCAGGTATAGGTGGCTCAGGGTATAATCCTAGCTGCTCAGGAGGGACACCAGGATTGCAGTTTGAAGTCAGACAGAACAAAAAAGTCTGCAGACTCCATGTGTCATAATCTGCAAAAAAGGAGTGGTTCATGGTAATCAGAAGGCCCCAAGTTCAACCCCAGTACCAGCTTCCCCCACTGCTGCCCCCCCCCAAAAAAAGAGATACCCAGAAAACCTCTAGAACAATGCAAACAAGAGAGGGCACTTTTTTCTATTGTAGAAGGGAGAACTCCTGGTGCAGACATGAAGGTCTGCTCACTCAGGAAGGAACTGGGAATTCTGATCATTGGACGGACTTGTGGTAGGTACAGGACGTACCCACCAGCGTGTAAACCATATGTGTGTTTCAGCGCTGCTGGGACATCGCCCTGGGCCCCCTCAAACAGATCCCCATGAACCTCTTCATCATGTACATGGCCGGCAACACCATCTCCATCTTCCCTACCATGATGGTGTGCATGATGGCCTGGCGGCCGGTCCAGGCCCTCATGGCCATTTCAGCCAGTAAGTATGCTTTAGAGTTTTTAATCATCTCTGAAGTAGCTGTACAAAGGAATTTCCACTCAACAAGGGAGGTTTTGAATATAACTTGATCAGTGTCACCCCTCCCCAGCCCTTCCCTCACTTTTTTTTTTCCCTCTTCTTAATTTGTAGGGTACACATTGCAATCTGACTGCAGTATCCCCCTCTGCATTTGTCCACCCTTTTCCCCTTGACCCCACTCCACCTCTTCCAAGTACCCACTTCCTGGTGTTTTATTTTGCTGAACTTTGATCAGTAAGTATGTTTTTTGTTTTTGCCAGTCCTGGGGCTTGAACTCGGGCTGGGCACTGTCCCTGAGCTGCTTTTAATCAAGGACAGCACTCTTACCACTTGAGCCACAACACCACTTCTGGCCTTTTTTATCTATGTGGTACTGAGGAATCAAACCCAGGGCTTCATGCTTGCTAGGCAGGCGCTCTACAACTGAGCTACCTTCCCAGTCCCCAGTTCTTCAATAAAAACCTGAATTTTAATAACTGAAGACACAATTTTGGGTGTAATTTTTGGTTAGAGGCTTTGCAGGGTGCAAGTGTTGGTAGTGGTGAGTGGTGGTCATGGCTTCCTCTTCGCCTCTGGTGGTCCAGTTTGCCCTCGCACTGAGAGTCCGCCTCTGTCAACAAACGGCCGGCTCGATTCACATTGACTGGGGCTGCGACAGCGTCTCTTGTCTCAGCAGCTTTCAAGATGCTGGAGAGCTCAAGTCAGAAGTTTCTTCAGGGTCTGGTTTATCTCACTGGGAACCTGATGGGCTTGGCACTGGCTGTTTACAAGTGCCAGTCCATGGGGCTGTTACCTACACACGCGTCGGACTGGTTAGCCTTCATCGAGCCTCCAGAGGTAAGACTAAAGAAAAGCTGAATTTGGAGCAACTGTAATACACAGTGGCTAGCTGCCTCATCTGTCTGACAGTAAGAAACTAAAGGGTTGGTATTAGGGTTGGCTTTTTTTGGGGGGTGGGGGCACAGTCCTACCGCTTCAACTCAGGACCTGGGCGCTGTCCCTGACCTTCTTTTGCTCAAAGCTGGCACTCTACCACTTGGGCCACAGTGCCACTTCTGGCTTTTTCTGTGTATGTGGTGCTGAGGAATCGAACTCAGGATTTCATGCATGCAAGGCAAGCACTCTACCACTAAGCCACCTTCCCAGCCCCTAGAATACATTTCTTCAGTAATAAAAGCTAGTAGGAATATGGAAATTATAAGGCAAACTACAGCTTGATATTAAAAGTATTAACTACTTGATTCCAGAAGTTTCTTTAATATTCATTCATCACTCACTTCCTGTTTCTGCTTTCAGAGAATGGAGTTCAGTGGTGGAGGACTCGTTTTGTGAACTTGAGAAAGAAGCTCCTTGAACCTAAAGTAAATGGACCTTATTTATATCCTGCTCTAGGCCTAGTAGCTCCTAAATGTGCTCACTCTTAAAATAACCACTGACAATACCCAAAATCTCTTTTCCATGGTGAGGAGACAAATGCTAAATGGTAATATGACTACAAACACAAAAGAAAATCTTACCACAACCCCTGCCTGAAAATAATGTAGAAAACTTTATTTATCTGTCAGTACAGAGCAAAACAATACAAGCAGAACTATGTAAACAGGAGTGTTTCAATAAATTAAATGCTTTTAAAAAGTTACACAAATTTCCTTTGAATCTGTATTTTACTGCTATTTAACATAAGCTGAAATAATTCTATTGGGGATGCATGTGGGAAAAGTGAGAAACCAATGCTGTATGCAAATTAAACATGATGAAAAGAAAAACGAGAAAAAAGAGCACGTAAATATGCTTACAGGGTAACTATGACTTTTAATACCCACAATGAGGAGTATTTAACGCGGGGATGGGGGTGGATGATTGGTGGGATCCCTGGAGCCACAGGAACTGAAGGCAATGGAATCGACAGTGGTGACCTTTCCCGTGCCGGGGGAGGCGCCCCTGTCCAGCAAGCCTGTTGTTAAATGCCAGCTTTTAAGACGGCTGTCTATGGAAGGCAGGGCCCGCGGTGGTAGAACGTGTATTTCTATAATCTGCCCTGGAAGTCCTCGTATCCAAGAGGCAGGAGAAGATCTTTCTCTTCCCTCTTGAAATATAAATCCCCTTTCCCTAAGGTGCATTCTCTCTCATCCAGTTTTTATATTGCTTTTTATTTGCAGTGATTAAAAGAGACAAGACACTTTGCAGACAAACAACCTAAGCAACACATACACACGAAATGCTCTAGACAGATGAGTAAATCTGGCCTAATAACCATTTTCCATGTAACAGTGATTTTGTTTTAGGGCCTGAAATAATGGTTTTGCAAATATCCACTAATTCCCTTATTTCTTTAAAAAGATTCTTCGCTCCAACCACAAACAGCCCTTCTAAAATTAACCTTATATTTCACAAATACTGGTCTATATTCTGTATGGAAAAAGTATCTATCAGTTTGGCCAAGGGTACATGTGAACGCTGAACAAGTCCTGGGCAGGCTGACCTTTTGCAGATACTGGACCTCAGGAGACCCGACCCATTACTGCTGTGCTCACCTATGAATGGAGTGTCGCCTTGGGATCTGTAAACAGTTCCTGAACAAACTATTTTTTGTTCTGAAAGCCATACCGAAGGGTTTTCTCTGTTTCTGGGCCAAATGATCTGTGAGACTTAGCGTCAGCTTTGTTCCTGCTCAATAATCAAAGAGGAGTGACACTATTAATAAAGTCCGTTTAAAGCAGCCATATTGTAGGCTCTGATAAGAGTTTCCTAGGCTGGAAGCCAGATGTTTTGTGATTAATGAAGCAGTAGGCAGAATGCTGAGCTTGGCACATGTAGAGCATTTTGGAAAGAAAAATAGTAGACCCCAGCTTGGTAACTGTCAGAATGAAAAATAAAATTGAAAGGGTTGAATGGTCTTACTTCCAGAGTTTAGGCAAGTGCCTCGAGTCATCTGTGATCATAGCTTTCTCAGTGAGAGAGAAGTTCCTTGTCTGTCACTTTTAAGTGTCTAAGGAGTAGCAATTCAGTAACTTTGGCACTGTAGGAGTATGGCTCTAGAACTTAAAATTCCACTGTAGAATTCTCCCTTTAAAGATGGTCCAAAGCTTCAAAGCATTTTAGCCAGTCTTCCTAGTACTTGTTCCTTGATTTTTTTAAAAACCTATGTTAACAAACTAGGCATACAAAGAGGGAAAGGAGAAACTACTGGCCTGTATGCTTCTCAAATTCACCATGTATGTATTGCTTGTATTACACAGATAACCACAGACTGTATTTCAGTAAATCTTAACAGCTACCCTTTAAATTCCCTTAGTTCAGCCATTTGGAGAGAACCTAAAGAAAACTTCTACCTAAAAAACAAACAAACAACAATTTCCATGATAACAATGCCTGCATTAATACCAAAGAATGGGTCATAAGGGAAACAAATGGCTGGAATTTAGACTGACAGTGTAGATACTTAAACTTGGTATTTTGGGGTACCTTTGAGCCATGTCGTGGATTCTGTACATTAGTACCCCAAGAGTCAATTTGAGCCCAGTAGGTACACTGAAGAAAACCAGATGTCTTCCGTCTTGTCTTGCTATGGTAGGTCACCCTACAAGGACAGTTCTGAGTACTTAGCCATGAGCTCTAGTAAGGTGAAGCTGTCTCTGCCTGCCACCCTGAACCATGACTTCACTGAACCATGACTTCTGAGACTGATCTTTAATAACTGTGGATGTGCTTGCTTTAACTCTTTAGCTAAATTTCTAGCAGCCTTTTTTTTTCTTTTTAAATCAGTTACTGCCTTCAGCTTTGCTTGTTAATTCTAACTTGCATTCTATTGGTACAGAAATGGCTCTTTTGATGTGGAGGGACTATTTTCTGCTTCTGCTGGGACAGCAGATGGAATGGCAGCCAGAGCACATCTACTTGTAGTCTTCTGAGCAAGTACCTGAGGCTCAGCGCAGTGTGCAGAGAGCAGACTCGGGAGTGGGCGTGGTGTGAGCGCGGTCACTTCCGCAGAGGACGAGCCTTCAGGGAGGCGTGGCAAGCAGTGCTCCGGGAGTGGGCTAAGAGTAGATGGTGATCACCTCGCTGCCACCGCCGCGCACCAGGAGGACTCGTTCCAGCCCCTCCGTCAGCACCTCCAGGAACTCCATGTCTTCAGAAGTTGTCAAGGAGAAGGGTGCACCATGCAAGTGGCAAACCGGCCATGCTACTTAATTACATATTCAGAGCAGGAAAGTCCTTTGTTAGTTTCTAAATGTTATTAAACGGAACCAGCTGGATGCCAGCAGCTCATGCCTATAATCCTAGCTACTCAGAAGGCTGATAGCTGTTTGAAGCCAGCCCAGGAAGGAAACTCCATGACAGTAGTAGGGCAAAGCAATTAAGATCTCATGTCAAAAAACAAAAAATGAGGTTTGGGGTCAAAACCAAGGGATATAAATTTGTCTACCATGCATTAGGCACTGGACTCAACTCCCAGTATCAGAGGGAAAAACAAACAGCCGAGTTTACCAGACCCAATCATTACAATTACTCTGTGTATATATTCCAGTAGTTACATATCCTTTGGTGCTCAAGGAATGAAAACCTTAATAGTCAAATAGTCTATGTAATAGAAAAAGATTTTCTTTTGATCTTTAAATACCCTTTACTCTATGGTCAGCTAATGCCCTGATTTCCATTCAGTTAATCAGGTCTCCTACTTTCGTTATTCCTGTGAGACAGAAAATTGCAGTATTCTTCTAAGCAAGAGATGGCTGCACAACCTAAGCTAGAGAAATCAGATGTAAGCTCCCGGTACTTTGGCTTTAATAGACGGACGTAAGGAACAGACAGTGCCTGGAGCTCGTCATTTCCAGCAGTTACCCTCGCCTGGTGATCAAGCCCTATAAAGGCTCTTATTCCAGGTTTTTTTGAGTCTGAATCTTCAGGCTTCCTGCCAATTTCGTAAGCTGTGTAATTTCCAAAACCAATTCTATGCCTGCTTTAAAAACCTAAGGATCCTTGCCTTGGCTTTATGTCTTCATCAAAAACAAAATATAGCAGAGACTGATTCTTTTCTCATCTAAGAAACAGGCTAGGGCTGGGCGCTGGTGGTTCATGCCTGTAATCCTAGCTACTCAGGAGGCTAAGATCTGAGAATCACGGTTCAAAGCCAGCCTGGGCAGGAAAGTCTGTGAGACTCTTATCTCCAATAAACCACTAGAAAACCAGAAGTGGCGCTGTGGCTCAAGCAGTAGAGCACTCGCCTTGAGCTGAAGAGCGCAAGGACAGCACCCAGGCCCAGAGTTCAAGCCCCACGATCGACCAAAAAAAAAAAAAAAAAAAAAAGAAAGAATTAAGAAAAAAAGAAGCAGGCTAGGAAGGTTCTTTTTCCCTGCTAGTAGCTCCACACTTGGGAAGGATACAGTTTTCGTCCCCCTCGGGATTTCGGGGTGGGCCTGGCATATTCAACAAAACCAGCTTTGCGTCATGAGACTTGTTGACGATGACCTCATTGAGCTTCACGGCTGTGTGCATCCGTCTCACATTGGAGTGGTCCCTAGACAGGGAGAAAGAGGAAGTTAAGACTGAAAAACGATCGTCACAGGCTTAGAAGACTTGAGCCAGAGGACAATGGTGAATAAACCAATGTCTTTACAGTGCTCATCACTGGGTTTTCTTTTTCTGTTTTCTTGCAAGCATCTCCATGGAGATGAACTGCATGGAGACACAGAAGATGGTTCACTGTATGCAATGTTTAAGTGGGAGCTTATATTCAGTGGTAAGCAAAGCAGATGGCCGGATTTGGAGGGTCCTCTGGTGTGTTCAGACAGTTCCATCTGTGTCACTGACTGGAATGTCACGGGGTAAGCTTGTGAGTGGGAAAACTTACGGCCGCATATTAAGTAGGTCCTGGAACCCTTCCATTGACTTGGCCTTTTGCCCCCGGGATGCCATGTACTTGTCTTTTGTCCAAGTCATGTGCACCTTCTCCTGATAGGTTTCTGTCTCTTCATCCTCATCAGAGCCAATGCTGGTCAATCGGAGCATCGAATTCCGGTCTTTCACCAACTGTGCCTGAGCAAGGTGCAACATGGTTATCTTACCTAATTTCCTTTCACGTGTCAACTATTTTGACCCAATATGGGGTTATATTGGGATAAGTAATGAACCAAGAAGGAAATAATTTGCTTTCCTGTGAAAACAACATGGCATCATCCCCTTCACCGTCCGACTTCTCTGAAACCAGGCTCAGATGGCTGCAGTCAGACCTTACCTCTCGGTCACGCTCAGTTTTGGAAAGCCGCATGTGCCGGAGCATCTGGGACCTCTGCTCCATCATCAGAGTGCGCTCGTAAGTATAAGCTGATATGTCGCTGTCATGCTGCCACAGGCATCACCCAGTGGGCAAAAGACACAAGAAGGTAAGCCATAACCTGTAATTTCCACGCAAATCCAACATAGTATAACCATCTTTACCCCTGTTTTGTTCAGATTGTTGGGCTACACAAATACATTACTTTGGGAAGGCAGATCAAATTCGGAGGCTCTGGAAAATACATTTCATGTATTTTCTTGAAACACAAAACTAATGATCTAGCCTGTATTTATGTAGTTATGTGTGATTTTAAGTATGAATTAAAAATTAATAAAATGTATTACGCAGATAAGAATCTAGCAGAAATATGAGCACTATGTAAATAATTAAGCTGCAACACCAAAAAGTAGCCCAAACACATAATGTATGCACCTGTTTATCTAGACTGTGAAGTCAGGGTTTTGTTGGAATTAGCAGGTTAAACCTACACTTGCAGCTGAACTGCCTCCCAACGAGAAGAGGTTCTAGGATGACAGGGTGAGGTGGCGGGATGGGTCCTGTCTCTTACCATCTCTACCACCTCCACCTCTGCCTCAATGCGCAGGTGATACAGGAAGGTGGCCAGGTCCTTCTTCATCTGGATGCTGTTGTCTTCTAGCTGGGCCACTGTGAAGATTCGAATGCTGCATTTTCGCCACACCTGACACAGTGCCACAGGTATATGGAAAATTACATCAGAAGGCCAGAATGTAAGGGACTGGATTCAAGGAGGCAAAAAAAGGAGGGTGGTGGTGGTGGTGATAAAGGGGTTTCCTGAAACTTGAGGTATTCCACCCTAGAACCTTGATCTACTAAACAACAAATTAAATGCAGTTCTAAGTAGGTGTTTTGTTGTTTTTTAAATTTCTGATACCTGGGCTTGAACTCAGAGCCTTGCCTCTTTGCTCAACTTTTTCTGCGAATAGCTCTATCACTTGAGTCACATCTCCGTATGTCTTTTTCCTGGCTGAATAGACACAGAATCTCTAGGACTATTTGGTCTGGCACAGCTCTAGGTCTTAGTCCTCAGAGCTCAGCCTCCTGAGTGGTGAGGGTTATAGACATGAGCCATTGGCATCTGGGCGAGCAGGGTCTCTGTCCCCTCTCCCCAAGGCAGCACCTCTCTGCGTAGCCCAGTCTGATCTTTGAACTCTGATCCTCCTGCCACCACCTCCATCTGCTAGGATTACAGACATCTGTTATCCATACCTTTCTTTTTAGAAGTTTTTTTTTTTGTGCTGGTACTGGGGCTTGAACTCAGGGCCTCGTACTCCTTCCCACTCGACCTGTTATACTACCACTTGAGCCACACCTCCATTTCCAGCTTTTTTGGCTGGTTAGTTGGAGATATGAGTCTCATGGATTATTTTGCTTGGGCTGGATGTGAACTTCAATCCTGAGATCTCAGGCTCTTGAAGTAGCTACAATCATAAATGTGAGCTATTGTAAGCTACTCCAGCTTATGGAGTTCGTTCTTTCCATTTTTTTTTTTCTCAAGTCCTGGGGCTTGAACTCAGGGCTTGGGCACTGTCCCTGAGCTTCTTTTGCTCAAGGCTAGCACTTTACCACTTGAGCCACAGCACCACTTCCTGCTTTTTCTGTTTATGTGGTACTGAGGAATCAAACCCAGGGTTTCATGCATGCTAGACAAGCACCCTGCCACTAAGCCACAATCCCAGCCTGGAGTTCATACATGAAAAAAACCAGGCATAAGCGGGCGCTGGTAGCTCACACCTGCAATCCTAGCTACTCAAGAGGCTGAGATCTGAGGATCACGTTTCAAAGCCAGCCTGGGCAGTAAAGTCCGTGAGAATCTTATCTCCAATAAACCACTAGAAAACTGGAAGTGGTGCTGTGGCTCAAGTGGTAGAGCACTAGCCTTGAGCTGAAGAGCTGAGGGACAGCGCCCAGGCCCAGAGTCAAAAAAGAAAAAAAAAACAACAAACAGGCATAAGAAAAGATGGCTCCTGTAACACTGTCAAGTTTACAGTTGTCATACAACTCTCAGAACGCTCGGAATCTCCAAAGTGACTGCGGTTTTCTGTGCCAGTAAGTTGACCGTGGGCTAGCAGGTCCCACATACTTTGCTCAGGATGGGGGTTGATCACTCCAAAGATCAAGGCAGGATTCCTGGATTGGGACTTTCAGACCCAGCTCCTCATCTTTAGGAGGGTAGAGGGGCTGAGGGTTGAGATGACCACCAGTTAGAAGCACAGGGAAAACAAAAGTGGGAGGAGAGCCTTTGCAGTACTCAGCCTTCAACCTTGGGGTACAATACTACCTCCAGGTAGACAGTACCTGAAGTGCACTGAAGACAACCAGCCACAAAGCACTGTAGAGCCCTGGCCTGCCTGATGTGTGTTGTGGGTTTGCCAATGTTGACGTGTCCTCACTTATGACACATTAGGTGGGCACTTGGGCACTTCATCCAGACAATAACTGACAACTCCAGGCAGACTACATTTACTACTTTACATTTCAACTTAGTCTTCTCAATGGACACACACACACACACACACCCTTAAAGCGTCCTTTGATAGACTGACTTCCGTCTCCTTTTAGACACACACACACACACACACACACACACACACACACACACACACACACACTACTTTACATTTCAACTTAGTCTTCTCAATGGACACACACACACACACACACCCTTAAAGCGTCCTTTGATAGACTGACTTCCGTCTCCTTTTAGACACACACACACACACACACACACACACACACACACACACACACACACACACACACACACACACACACACACACACACACACACACACACACACACACACACACACACACACACACACACACACACACACACACACACCCTTAAAGCGTCCTTTGATAGACTGACTTCCGTCTCCTTTTAGAGATACATTCATGTGTTAGTTTTTCCCCAGGTCTCATATTAGCTACTTAATTAGTCAAAGCGGAGGGGAGGGGAGCGGCAGGAGTGCGGTGGGGAGGGGAGGGGAGCGGCGGGGAGCAGAGCGGCAGGGAAAGGCGCGGCGGGGGCTGCCTCCAGTGGCCCGCTAGGCACCTTGTGCTGCCGCAGCAGGAAGGGCAGCAGCATGAGCATGCCCCCGTCATGGACAATCCACCAGACGTCGATGTTGCCCTCGGAGAACTGCTCCACATTGCTGGGGAAGAAGGACACATTTTTGGCCACCAACAGAGCGAGGTGGGCAGCAGTTGTCACGCGAACTGTGCCTAGGGAGGAAAGGAGAGCTGGGATAAGCAGAGAAGGCGTCCAGCCGGGCTTGCTTCCTTCCAAGCTAGGAAAGCAGGGATCACTGCCAGTCCTGGGGCTGGGCCTGGGCGCTGTCCTCGAGCTGCTTTTTGCTTAAGGCTAGCACTCTACCACGTGAGCCACAGTGCCACTTCCTGCATTTTTAGTTCATGTGGCACTGAGGAATCGAACCCAGGGCTTGATGCATGCTACCAACTAAGACAATTCCAGCCTCTCTCATTTTTTTGAGGAAAGTATCCTCATTAAATAACAAAAATCCCTGAGAAATAAACACATAACTAATCATTCGGCTGAGAAGGATGGCTTAGGTCACTAGATACACTCTGATTATATCCAATTTGGCAGTTTTTGTTTTTTGTCAGTTATGGGGCTTGAACTCCGGGCCCAGGCGCTGTCCCTCAGCTCTTCAGCTCAAGACGAGCGCTCTACCACTTGAGCCACAGCGCCACTTCAGTTTTCTGAGTGATTTATTGGAGATAAGAGTCTCATGGATGTTCTTGCTGGGGCTGGTTTTCAACTGCAAGCCTTCAGCCTCCTGAGTAGCTAGGATGACAAGTATGCGCCACCAGCACCCAGCTAAATTAAGAACCAGTCTTCCCCCGCTTCTACTCCCCCCCCCCCAATCATTCGTGGGGCTTGAACTCTGGGCCTGGGCATTGTCCCTGAGCTCTTTTGTTCAAGGCTAGTGTTCTACCACTTTGAAACACAGCACCACTTCTGGGGTTCTGGTGGTTCACTGGAGATAGAATCTCAGACTTTCCTGCCTGGGCTGGCTTTGAACCATGATTCTCACAACCTCCTGAGTAGCTAGGAATACAGGAATGAGCCACCAGCTATTTGCAGGTTTTTGATGCTGAAGGACAATCCTTCCAAACCTCAATTTGCAGAATCATAAAACAGGACAGTACTTGACAGTGCTGATAATAAAGAAATGTAAAGCTGGGTAGATAAATCAGGTTATCATCACTTACAGCAGGTTGTTTTTTTAAGGTGGCCTTCAGGACTATGCTGTAACAATGGCACAGTCCCTAGGCAGCCGGGAGATTTTGGTTTAGTTTTTTGGGACTGGCAACCGTCCTTCCTTAGCCTCCCTCCCCCCCCCCCCCCCCCCCCGCCGTGCTGGGATTACAGATGTACTCCACCACACCCCCCAGCTGGCGTGAGAGGGGTTTAACTTCCCCCCACTTAGTAGAGGAAGCGCTGTGTACCAATAAAAGTCTTCCAAGCGCGTGCATCTTCACTCTGACGCCAGCCGTTGGGCCAGCCCATCACCACCGTGTTGTGCTTCATGCCTCCGAGGCCACAGGACTGGATGAGGTGGGAGATGCCCTCTTTGAGCTTGGCAGCAACCACCAGCTGACAGAACCCTTTTACCTTCTCTGCCTCCATTAGGTGCTTAATGGTCTGAAAGAGACAGGAAACTCAGCAGCCAATTACTTCATCCTGGATCTCTTCCCACACTCTATGCAGACTATAGCTCTTACAGAAAAGTAAAAAGAGTTAAGTTATTCCAGTGAAATGTGCTCAGTATCTGATTTCACATCTGTAGTCAAATGTCTATGTGTCTACCTTTTCCTCTGTTCTGCATTTTTTCCTTTTTGTTTTCTTTGGGCCATACTGGGGTTTGAACTCGGTGTCACACCTTCCTGCCTGCTAGGTAGATGCTGCCATATCTCTAGCACTTTTTTGCATGAGTTAGAGATCTTACTTTTTACCAGGCTTATTCCTAGATCCCAGTCACCTTATTTCACCTTTACTACCACAGCTGGATGACAGGTGCACAACAAATCCAATTTCTTCAACTAAGATGGGAGTCTCACAAACTTTCTTGCTCTGGCTGGCCTAAAATCATAATCCACCTGATTTCAACCTCTCACACAGCTAGAATAATAGGTGTGTCCAACTGGTGGTTGCGTTTCAAGTACTTTCTTTTCTTCTTTTTTTTTGGTCAGTTGTGGGGCTTGAACTCTGGACCTGGGCGCTGTCCCTCAGCTCTTCAGCTCAAGGTCAGTGCTCTACCACTTGAGCCACAGTGCCACTTCCAGTTTTCTGAGTGGTTTATTGGGGATAAGAGTCTCAAGGATGTTCCTGCCCAGGCTGGCTTTGAACCTCGATCCTCAGATCTCAGCCTCCTGAGGAGTTAGGATTACAGTTGCAATCTCCAGCACCTGGCTGCATTTCAAGTACTACCTACCTGATCTGACCTTGAATTGGAGAGGCCATCGTGCCTGGCTTTCTTCCTTTTAACATACCAGAATTTAAGAACAGGCATCTCCACCAAGTGGATACTGAACAGAGTTCTTTTACAGTGAGTTGCTATTGCGAACTTGATAAATACTGCCTTTCTCCACCAACTACACCTTGACTTATCCTTCAGAAATTAACCTGATTATTCAGTTCACCTTTAATGTTTTCTCAGGTAAGGTTTCCCTTCTGCATCCCCCATTCTTATAACCTTTCTGATATTTTAATGGGGTGACTGACAAGTCCTGTATTTGACTTACTACAACCTTATTTATTCAAGCGGATTTAGAGCTAATATCTCATCCACTTTTATAGAAAAGGGGCTGGAACAGTGGTGTGGAGATGGTACGATTTTTCCAAAGGCACAGGTTAGGCCATGGTGTGACCGGGACAGGGGTGAACCTGGATTCAAGAGGAGGGAAAAACTTTATTTGCAACTTTGTGCTTCTTATGTTAATTTCCTCAACTTTCTAATGTTTGTCTTCGTTTTTAATATTTAGGGTTTGCAAAGTGTTCCAAAATGAAACCCAGGAAATTTTTCAAATGCAGTTGAAATTTTCTCCAAAGTTTGATCATGTGCAATAAATACTTATTAAAAACTACTTCCTCCCAGAAAAAAATTTCTCGTCCAGAGGTGGGAAATAGCAAATGAATCTTGCTCACAGAACCATGTAAGTTGGTAAAGAGTAAGAGAAATTGTTCCTACGGGGACAAGGTCTAAGAACCTTCGTCATGGCTGTAAGGCTAGGTTTACTTACATGACTTCTCTCATTGTTCAGATTAATGTGTGCAGGCTAACCGAAATTAACACTTAGCTATGAAAAACACCTAATACAGGTTAGTAAAACTTTAGGTGAGTAGAAAGAATACATGTTTGTTTTTTCTGGCTCTTTTTATTACTTGGCAGAATAGGACTGTTCAAGTCAGGTGTGGTGTACTCACTCTCAAGGGGCCAAGATGGGAGGACTGTTAGTTCATTTGCCAGCCTGGGCTATGGGGGAGACCCCAGCACTAAGCAGGAACAGTTCTAGATCACAGAGGAAAGGATAAACTGAGAAGTCTGAGTCTTCCTTGTTAGGGCCACAAGCTATAAGCTAAGTTCCACTAAGTCAGTGTGTCTCGACTTGCTGACCTGCTCAGCAGCCAAAGCTTCACCGTAGTTCTCCAGGAAGTTCCCCACGATGACAGAGCCCACAATAGTGAGACCCTTTCCTGCTTTGAGCTGTGAAGCAAAGGTGAGGAGACGAGGATGCTTGACATGTAAGTCTTCATCCAGTTTCAGTAACACGAGCAGCTGAGGCCTGAAAACACAATTCAGGAGAGCCATACGAAATATATAGTCTGGCTGGAGGAAGAGAGCAGAACCAGCCCCTATAGCATGAGGCCCTGATTACTGCCAGTCCTCCCCACTGCCACCTCAAACCCATCAGTCTTCAAGAGGAACGGTGAGATCACAAATCACTCAAAGGAGGATGGAATAATCTGAAAGTGTCCATCACGCCTATCCCTTGAGCCACATGAGTTCCTTACTCTATAGTCAGTAAAGCTCATCTGTGGTCATAACTGTGGGCTAAGCATGTTCACTGTGGTTTCTTTACCTCCAGTTTTTGGTGTGTGGAGGTCCCTCCTCCAGCCGAAGCAAAGCAAACCGGGCGGCACTGAGGGACAGCCCACGGATGCCATCACCCCACTCCTTCTCAGCTCTACAAGAAAACAGAACAGAGAAGGCAGACTTCATGTCCTTAGAACCTTAAGTAACATATGTGCAAGATTCAATAACTCATGTTATTCAATTTATTAGGACAACAAACCCAGTTATGGGGTTTACAAATAAAGAACCCGCTGTGAGTAGGCAAACACCACCCTCACCAGTGCTGTACTATACAAATACTTCAGAATGAAGGCTGGAAGCCAGGTGCTGGTGGCTCATGCCTGTAATCTACTCAGGAGGCCGAGATTGGAGGGTTGAGGTTCACAGCCAGCTTGATCAGGAAAATCCACGAGATTCTCATCTCCAATTAACAAAAAGCAGAAATGAAGCTGTGGCTCAAAGTGGTAGAGAGCTAGGCTTGAGTTCTAAAGCTCAAGTACGGAGCCTAGGCTATGAGTTCAAGCCCCAGAGCTGACACAAAAGCAAAAACCAAAACAGAATGAAAGCTGGAGGGTCTCTTCAAAACCAACAATGTTGCTGGACATTGGTGGCTCAGGCCTGTAATCCTAGCTTCTCAGGAGGCTGAGATCAGGGGATCGCGCCGTTCAAAGCCAGCCCAAGCAGGCAAGTCCATGAGACTCTTATCTCCCATTAGCTACCAGAAAATTGGAAGTGGCCCTGTGGCTCAAATGGTACAGCGCACTACTCAAATGTGCACTGGCCTTGAGCTAAAGAGCTGAGGGACAATGCCAGAGTTCAAGCCCCACAACCGACCAAAAAAACCCCCAAAAACCAACAATGTACAATAGCAATTTGGATTAGGGAATTGTTCTATACCCAGGACTTAAAACGATTTTGAAAACAATAGGAAAAAAAATAACAGAATCTCATGAATCAAAATGATATTTACTCATCATTTTTGAAAGTTATTATGAAATGCTAGTTGATACAAAGTTATTCTAATAACTAATTCTAATTAATATTCTTACTTTCATCTGAGGCAATCTTCAGTGATGAGATAATAAAGACATTTGTGTGTGCCAGTACCAAGGCTTGAACTCAGGGCTTCTGAGCGTACACTCAGCTAACTTTTGCTGATGGCTGTTGCTCTACAACTTGAGCCATCTTCTAGTCTAGCATTTTTGGTGGTTAACTGGATACCAATTTCTGCTTGCTTCAAACCAAGATCCTCAGATCTCAGCCTACTGAGTAGGTAGTATTACAGGTACAAGCCACTGGTACCCAGCTAGTAATATTTGTGTTATATCATTGTCACTTGGATATTTACTTTTAGTTATTTTTCATTGATCCACTCATACTTTCTTTTTTTGGTCAGTTGTGGGGCTTGAACTCTGGGCCTGGGTGCTGTCCCTCAGCTCTTCAGTTCAAGGTGAGCTCTCTACCACTTGCGCCACAACACCACTTCCAGTTTTCTGGTGGTTTATTGGAGATAACAGTCTCACGGACTTTCCTGCCTGGGCTGGCTTTGAACCATGATCCTCAGATCTCAGCCTCCTGAATAGCTAGGATCACAGGTGTGAGGTACCAGCACCCAGCTCCACTCATACTTTCTCAACAGCTTTCCTTGGTGACGAAAAAATCTATCTGTAACATAGTCAAGAGAATAAATGCTGGCAAATGAGTGGGTCTTTTATGCTTTTTTGGGGGGTCAGTTGTAGGTCTTGAACTCAGGGTGTGGGTGCGATCCCTGAGCTTTAAAAAAAATTACAGGCTCACACCTGTAATCCTAGCTACTCAGGAGGCTGAGATCTGAGGACTGCGGTTCAAAGCCAGATGGGGCAGGAAAGGCCATGAAAACTCTTATCTCCAATAAACTATCAGAAAAATGGAAATGGCGCTGTGGCTCAAGTGGTAGAGTGCTAGCCTTGAGCTGAAGAGCTCAGGGACAGTGCTCAGGCCAAGTTCAAGCCCCACGACCAATAACAACAACAACAACCAAAAATTTATAATGCCAGTCCTGGGGCTTGAACTTGGGGCCTAGGTATTGTCCCTGATCTTCTTCTGCTCAAGGCTAGTGCTCTACCATTTGAGCCACAGCACCACTTCTGACCTTTTCTGAGTAGTTTATTGTAGATGAGAGTCTTACGGACTTTCCTGCCCATGTAGGCTTTGAACTGTGATCTTCAGATATCAGCTTCCTGAGTAGCTAGGATTACAGGCATGAGCCACCAGCGCACAGCCTTCGATGCAATTTTTATTGAGCTGCTCTAGCTAAACCAGCAATTCTGTTACTTTGACAGTATTGGGAATTACATTCGAGGCCTCACACTTGCTAGGTAGGTGCCCTTCTACTTCCTGCCGTCAGCTTCTTTTTGCACTGTTGCTTTATGCCTGGGCAGCCTGGGCTTTGATCCCTCCACTTGTATCTCCCTGTCAGTGGGGTGACAGGCACACACCACGCCACCGTGCCTCCTGGACAGCTGAGATTACAGGGATCAACTATGGTATCCAGACACTGGCTAAACCCGAGTCCCTTGAATGCTTGTTTTTTTTTGGCCTACATTGGCTTCCAACCATAGTCCCTTGATCTCTGCCTCCTACGTATTCTGTCTTCTGAGTGCTACCATTTATAGGCATGTACTACTCCCATACCCTATCAAACCAGGCATTCATAGTGACTTTAGAAGCCAGCAGTCACGTCTGCACTCACCCTTGGTACTCAATGTACTTGTAGATCATACCAGCGATTACCATTGCTACGATAGCATAATACCAGGAAGAAATGAACATCAGAGCCAGACAGATACTCATGCCCATGAAAGAGAGGGTCCTAAAATTTAAAAACAAAACATAAAGGTTACTTTCTTTCTTTTTTTTTTTTTTTTGCCAGTTGTGGGGCCTGAACTCTGGGTCTGGGCGCTGTCCCTCAGCTCTTCAGCTCAAGGCTAGCGCTCTACCACTTGAGCCACAGCGCCACTTGCAGCTTTTTCTGCATATGTGGTGCTGAGGAATCGAACCCAGGGCCTCATGCATGCAAGGCAAGCGCTCTACCACTGAGCCACCTTCCCAGCCACATAAAGGTTACTTTCTAAGCATCAAAAAAGAAGCCTATGCTATGAGTGCTTCTTAAACCGTCTGGGGGACTATTGTTTATGTAAGATAAAAATTAATGAAAATCATTTATAAGAAAAAATATCACTTGCCTTAATACTGTGATAAAAAATAAAAAATAATTATAAGAAAGATTATTATTATCATCACATGTTTTAGTACTTCCCCTTGTCCTTGGTTTTGTGACGCTGTACCTCAAACCCAGGGCCCTGAACATGCCAGACAGGCATTCCATCGCTGAGATACTGTGCTACCACCCCACATGATAATGGTCTCTAAATGCTCATTCTCAATTTCTTTTTTTTTTTTTTTTTTTGTCGGTAGTGGGGCTTGAACTCTGGGCCTGAGCACTGTCCCTCAGCTCTTCAGCTCAAGGTGAGTGCTCTACCCCTTGAACCACAGCAACACTTCCAGTTTTCTAGTGGTTTATTGGAGATAACAGTCTCACGGACTTTCCTGCCCAGGCTGGCTTTGAACCGTAATCCTCAGATCTCAACCTCCTGAGTAGCTAGGATTACAGGCGTGAGCCACCAGCGCCCGGCTTCTCATTCTCAATTTCTGTGGTTGCCTTATTCTAGAGTGACAACATACAGTTAGCAGATTTGTACTGGGCCTGCAGCTGTAATACAAGATGCTTCTCACTGCTGTAAACAAAATGAACAGGGCCTCTACAAAAGTCTGTAGTTGTAAGCACAAGTAAGGTAGGAATTGAACATACAGCCATATCTATGATTATAATTTCTTCTTCTTCTTCTTCTTTTTTTTTTGTGGGTCCTGAGGCTTGAACTCAGGGGCCTGGGCTCTGTCCCTGAACCTGGATGTGCTCAAGGCTAGCACTCTAGAGTCACAGCACCACTTCCGGATTTTTCTGTTTATGTAGTACTGAGGGAGGAATCAAACCCAAGGCTTCATTCGTGCTAGGCATACACTACCACTGAGCCACATTCCCAGACATGGAATCTTAATTTTCTATATAAATATTCCTACAAATTTACCATAATTATTGAGAAAAATGTGCCATAGAAATAGAAATTAATAAGACAGTAATCAAGAGCTTGTTTTGATCAAATAAATTAGAGAGACAGCTACATTTATTGCTTTTTTTTTTCCAGTCCTGCCGCTTGAACTCAGGGCCTAAGCACTGTCCCTAAGCCTCTTTTGCTCAAGCTAGCACTCTATTATTTCAGCCACAGCGCCACTTCTGGCTCTTTCTATTTATGTGATACTGAGGAATTGAACCCAGGGCTTTATGCATGCTAGGCAAGCACTCTACCACTAAGCCACATTCCCAGCTCCACTGAATTCTTCTGTGTGTAGAATGAACTTTCTATGTGATAAAACTCTGAAATGTGAATAGGAGATTAAATCTCATAAATAATAAAAGAAAAAAAGAGCAAAATAGCAACACAAACATGTTCATCATGAACTTTTAAGTTAAAGCTCAACTTATAAAGGGGATGAAAGGTTATAGATGTATATTTTTGCTATACAGATAAAGAGTACATCATTGCACACAACTGACATGTGAAGCCAGGAGAGTATCAAGAGAACTGCAGCAGCAGGTTCATATATGACAGGAACAAATAATTCTTAGCTTACAAGAGGAAGTGAGAAGCAGCATTTCATGGAGAATTTTGCCATCCACTATACTAATAAGCAGTTTACATTTACCTGTCTCCTGTTACAAATGAGTGAAGTAAAATGTTATATGTTGAAGGGTACAAAGCTTGGAAGCAGTTGGATTAAGGCCATAAATTGTGTGTGTGTGTGTGCACGCGCGCGCTGTGCGTGTGTGTGCGCGTGCATGTGTGCGTGTGTTAAGACTTGAACTCAGGACCTTGAACTCTTGGTTAGCTTTTTTGCTAGCACTTGAGCCACACCTCTACTTCCAGCATTTTGCTGGCTAATTGGGGGATGAAAGTCTCTTAGGATTGTTTGTCTGGCTGTCTTCAAACTACAATCTTCAGAGCTCAATCTCCTGAACAGCTAGGATCTTAGGCATGAGAGTCACTGATGCCTGGCCCATCGGACACATTAACTTATGAAGTGAATTCTCACAGGAAGTGAGTATAAAAATGAAACAGATGGGATGAAACCTAATGCTTAGCTAAGAGGAAAATGGGAAAATAGTCTGCAAAAGGATTTTTTTACCTTGAATGAGGCAGGCTGGAAATACCTGTTTTGTAGTTTTGATTTTTATTGTTAGTGAGTACAAGTTATTACAAAACGATATAGGAAAAAATTAGAAGAGACGTAGAGTCAAGTGATAATGAATATTGAAATAGGTGAGAATAGTTAGTCAAAGAACCTTAGGTTTCTAGCTCAATGATGAGAAGAAGAGAAGAACAAAGGGAAAAAAGGAGAAAAGAGCAAACTTACCAGTGGTAGTAGCGGAATCGGGGTCTCCAGTTGGGTGTTCGAAGTAATGTTTGCAAGGCACATGCCAAGTTCACAAAGAGGTAACACATGAGAAAAAACCTAGAGGGGTAAGAAGGGTAAGAGTAGGGATTGATTTGTAAGGTGTTTATTTGAGAGCTAGTTTAAATAACTGATTTGTAAGGAGTTTATTTGAGGGTTAGTTTACATAACTGAAGACACTGCTGTACTGAAGCTATTTCTAGATCATTAACCCTTGATGAAATAAAAAATGAAGCTGGGTGCTGGTGGCTAGCTAATCAGAAGGCTAATATCTGAGGACTGCAGTGCAAAGCTAGCCTCTGCAAGAAATTCCCCAAGAATCTTACCTTCAATTAAGCACTAAAATGACAGAAGTGGAGCTGTGGCTCAAGTGGTAGAGTACTAGCCTTGGACAAAATTTCAGGGACAATGCCTAGACCTTGAATTCAAGCTGCAGGGTTGGCACAAAAAAGCAAACAAACAAACAAAAAATCCCAGAAACCAAGAAACTGCTTTCTGTCAATAGCAAAACCATTCTTCACTGGCTGTTCATAAAAACCCAGGTTTCCTCTTCCTCACCTTTTTTCTTTTTCTTTTTTTTTTTTGGTTAGTCATGGGGCTTGAACTCTGGGCCTGGGCGCTGTCCCTCAGCTCTTCAGCTCAAGGCTAGTGCTCTACCACTTGAGCCACAGCGCCATTTCTGATTTTCTGATGGTTTATCGGAGATAAGAGTTTGACAGACTTTCCTGCTCGAGATGGCTTTGAACCGTGATCTTCAGATCTCAGCCTCCTGGGTAGTTAGGATTATAGGCGTGAGCCACTGGTGCCCAGATCTCTTCCTCACTCTTGTTCCAAATTAATCTATCAATTCCTATGGATTATACTTTTAAATATCTGTATACTTTTTCTCTTCCTTTATGTTTCAACTATGTTTGACTCTCACTTCTTTTCTTTTTTGTCAGGGGATTTGAACTCAGGGTCTGGGCACTGTCCCTGAGCTGCTTTTTGTTCAAGGCTAGCACCCTACCACTCGAATCACAGCGCCACTTTTGGCTTTTTCTGTTTATGTGGTACTGAGGAGTTGAACCCAGGGCTTCCTGTGTGCTAGGCAAGCACTCTACCACTAAGCCAAATTCACAGCCCACACTGGTTTTCAATGAGTATTTCCGGCTCAGTTTTATCCTGTTTCCATTCCTCCTTCCTTCTTTTCCAGTCTACTGACTCTCCAATGATACACTCTCCAACACACTCAAGCCACGCTGCCTTCAGTTTTTTTGGTACATTCCTCAATTCTTTTTTTTTTTTTTTGCCAGTCTTGGGGCTTGAACTCAGGGCCTGGGCTGTCTGTTCTTGAGCCTCTCTGTGCTCAAGGCTAGGGTTCTACTGCTTGAGCTACATACAGTGCCACTGCCGGCTTTTTCTGAGTAGTTTATGGTAGGTAAGTCTCACAGACTTTCCTGCCTGGGCTGGCTTTGAACCGCAATCCTCAGATCTCAGCCTCCTGAATAGCTAGGATTACAGGCGTGAGCCACCAGCACCCAGCTTCCTCATTCCTGTATATACATTCCCAGTTTGGAACATGTTTATCAGTGCTTCTTTTTTCTTTTTTGTCCATCATGGGGCTTGAACTCAGGCCTGGGTGCTGTTTCTGAGGTTCGCTGCTCAAAGCTAGTGTTCTACCACTTTAAGCCACTGCTCCACTTCAAGTTTTCTGGTGATTAATTGTAGATAAGAGTTTCTCAGCCTTTTGTCCCTGAACCGCAATCCTCAGATCTCAGCCTCCAGAGTAGCTAGGATGACAGGCATGAGCCACCAGCATTCAGCTTCTGCCTTTTTTTTCTAAGCAGTCATCCTTCAAGGTACAAGTGACACTTTCTACAAAAAAAAAGAAAAAAAAGTTGTGCTAAGCTGGGTGCCAGTGTAGTTCATGCCTATAATACTAGCTACATCAGAAAGCTGAGATTGGGAGGATCTTGGTTCCAGGACAGCCCCAGAGGACCAGACCCTACCTCAACAGAAAAAGTTGGCATGAGGGCATGCACCTGTTTGTTATTCTAGCTATGAGAAGCACAAATAGGAAAATTGGCTTCCATGTCAGTGTGGGTAAAAAGCAAAAACTTATCTCAAAAATAACAAGAGCAAAAAAGGATGGAGGTGTGGCTAAATGGTAGAGCACTTGCCCATCAAGTGCTGGAAAACCCTGAATTCAAACCCCAATACTAAAAAAGTAGCAACAAAGAAATGGTATTCTGCTCAGATTCTTTGCCTTAGTGCACCTACAGTGCCGGGTGTTCACACATCACATCGTACAGGCACCATTGGTTTCTCGAGCTATCATCACTTCCCTAACACTGTGCATTATCTGTCTTTATATTCCCAGAATCATGGAGGTAACAAGTTACCAACAAATCATGGGTGAATGAATAAAAGCTAACTGTAGAGCAAAGCTACAAACAACTGCCAATCAGAAATGAAGGCCAGGCTGGGGGGTGTACTTGCCTAGCAAGTAAGTCTCTGGAGTAAAGTGGGAGAGGGGAAGGAACTCCTGAAATCGAATAGGTAGGGAAAAACTGTAATAATTTATAGAAGTTAACCTTACATAACAGTTCTTCAGAATATTCAGCTGAAGTTGAATCTGTGTTCGGTCAACTCTCATGATCACTGTTAGGTGACTACACACTAAGCAAACATAATCCAAGGAAATAAGTGGCTCTTACATGGAAAGAATTGGGGCCACAAGGTCCAAAGAGGCAATGAGGATCCCCAGCTCTGCAATGGCTGCAGTTAGAAGTAAGGCCCAGGTGGGCTCCCCATTGGCTTTGCTGTGACCAAACACCTGCACACAGGAGAGAAGGGTTCAGGCACAGGACCTAGAAAATGTGCCCTGGTTCCTTTGGCCTACAGTGTCTTAACAAGTTATCTTTTCAACATCTTCACAGCAATCAAGTATAAACTCCCAGTAGGAATCTGGAAGTCTTGTACAAAACCCCCACATTCTGTATTTATCTACTAACAGCAGAGCCTGGGGAGAAGGAGGAGACAAAGAAGGGAACTGCTTACTCTCAGAAATGGTATGATGTTGTCCTTGGCAATCGCCTGCAGGAGCCTTGGTGCACCTGTGAGGCTCTGAAGTCCAGCCCCACATGTTGAAAAGAAGGAGCCAATAACAATCACCCATGGGGACGGCCAAGATAAGGTACCGACCACTAAATTACCTTTCACAGCATCCCCAAATCTGAGAAAGAAAGAAACAAGAAATTTTATTATGCAGATAATGTAGATTGAAAGACTAGGGGGATGTCCACCAAGCTTTTCTATTTATAATTTTTACAGAATCAAAATTGAGATAGACATGCATGCTGAGAAATGCAAAGGAAGATGTCTCTGATCAAAAAACATTTAGAGTGAGGCATGGTGGGAAATACCCATAATCCTAGAACTCAGGAGGTTGAGGCAGAAGGATTCTGGGTTTTACGGCAGCCTAGGCTTTCATAGGAAGATCAGTCACCCACTCAATAAATAAGTAATTAATATAAATAAACAAAGAGGATGGGGCTGGGAAGGTGGCTCAGTGGTAGAGTGCTTGCCTTGCATGCCTGAGGCCCTGGGTTCGATTCCTCAGCACCACATAAGCAAAAAGAAAAAAGCCGGAAGTGGTGCTTATGGCTCAAGTGGTAGAGCGCTAGCCTTGAGCTGAAGAGCTGAGGGACAGCACTCAGGCCCAGAGTTCAGGCCCCAGGACCGGACCCAAAAAAAAACAAAAAACAAAGAGGAAAAGCATGGATGAAGCTCTTGGTTCATCTCCAGCACCACTGGGGGAAAAACAAAGCAAAACAAAATCCAACAGGCACCAATGACTTATGTTACGAAAAAATAAGCAAACAGTAGGACCAGAAAATAAATTAAGCTATACTTGCAGCTATCCTCTTCAGATTGCTTTTGGAGAAAAATTGGCAGAAAAACACAAAAAGCAGAAGGGAGATCTTCACATCTTCTTAGGCAGTGTAGGCTGGCTCTGGACATGTGACCTTAGTGCCTCAGCCTCTGGATGCTGGGCTTGCAGGTATGCCCCACCATGCTTGTCTTACCACGATTTATAAAACATGGGTAGGATCTCACTGTACCGATCATCATCAATTCTTTTTAAGCATATGCATTTTCCTGTGTTAGGCAACCCATGAATAAAATTTTAGTGGTTTGAATAATACTGCATCATGATTTGTATTACCTATTCTTCTAGGGTTGTTATTCTATTATGCAAAATGTTATAATAAGTGTTTTTATGCATTGATATGTCTTTACACATTAATCATTTACACAGATTATTTTCCTTTGGAAGATTCCTGAAAGAATAGTTAAAATATATACATATATATTGCCAGGCGCCGGTGGCTCATGCCTGTAATCCTAGCTACTCATGAAGCTGAGATCTGAGTACTGCAGTTCAAAAAGCCAGCCTGGGCAGGAAAGTCTTTGAGACTATCTCCAATTAACCACCAGAAAACCAGAAGTGGTGCTGTGGCTCAAGAGGTAGAGCGCTAGCCTTCAGTTGAAGAGCTCACAGACAACGTCTAGGCCCAGAGTTCAAGCCCCACGACCAACAACAACAACAACAAATTAATCTATTAATGTTACTTCAAAATCTCTGCCCAAATGCTTTCCAGAAAGGTTATACTAAGATTTTACTTTCAATGAAATGTATGAGGGCTTGTCTTTAGGTTTGAACTGGCACCAGCCTTCTCATTCAAAGTCCATGCAGCACTTGTTCAGCAGATGGTGTACCACCTGGATGAGCCCCACCTCCAGCCTGGGTTTTTACTAGTCATTTTGGCTGTTGGACTTTCCTGACCAAGCTGACTTCGAACTGAAGTCCTCTAGATCTCAGCCTTCCAAGTATCTAGGATACTAGATTTAGTATTATCCATATAACCATCACAAAGATCAAATAACAGAACATAATTAGTACCCAAAGTCCCTCCAGTATTTATTCCCAATCACTAGCCCTCTCTTCCTCTTCACTGTCCTAATTTTGTGTATGTGTTCTGAGATTGTGATATAATTTACCAAGCTCCACACATCTCTTCTTATAATAGTCTTGAAAGAAAATACTGTGTGTGCATATATACATATACATATATTATATTCATATATATATGTATATTGAGCTACTTATTTGCTTTTTTTTTTGGAGTCCAGTCATGGGGCCTGAACTCTGGGCCTGGACACTGTCCCTCAGTTCTTCAGCTCAAGGCTAGCACTCTACCACTTGAGCCACAGCGCCACTTCCGGCTTTTTTCTTTTTGCTTATGTGGGTGCTGAGGAATCGAACCCAGGGCCTCAGGCATGCAAGACAAGCGCTCTACCACTGAGCCACCTTCCCAGCCCTGCTTTTTTTTTTTTTGCTGGTCCTGGAGCTTGAACAACTGAGGGCCTGGGCGCTGTCCCTGAGCTCCTTTTTGCTCAATGCTAGCACTCTGCCACTTGAGCCACAGCACCACTTCCACTTTTTTTTCTGTGATTAATTGGAGAGAAAAGTCTCACGGACTTTCCTGCCAGCGCTGGCTTTGAACCAGGCTGATCAGGATTACAGACAAAGCCACTGGTGCCTGGCTGCACTTACTTATATATACATACATATAGTTGTACAGCATGTGTTAGACTTACTATTCTCAAACAGCTCAGTCTAATAGGGAAAGTGAGATAAAGATGAGTACTGACAATGTAATAGGATAGTGCAACAACACAGTATGTTCAAGGGAGGAGTGAGGAATATGGGTTGACTGTATAGGGCATAAGACTCTTCACCTAGTCTTGGTGAATGAATCTAAATCTGTTCATTCCTAAGCAATGGAAGCCAGGCAAAAGTACAGATGGAGAGAGACTTGAAACAAACAAAACATACCTCTAGGATGTGGCCTGAGCAGACGGAACTCATGGGGAAGGGTGGGAGAAAAGAGCAGAAGTGGGCAGAGGGGAGCTCAGAGTAATGGTTTAAAGGGCCATGGCAGTCTCAGAAGCAGGGATCTTGTTGACCAAATTCTGTGTTTTAGAGAAATCATCCTGATGGCAGTGCAGTGGGTGAGGATTACAAAGTGGTAAACATGAAAGGGAGATTGTTACAGACTTGCAGGCAAAAAATCAGAGTAAGTGATAGGGATATAGAAGCAAGGGAAATAATAAGATAGATTAAAGTTGAAAGAATTTACAGGGCTGTGAAACCATCTGGATGACAGAACTGATGGAAAGGTCTAATTAAACTTAGATTTCTGGGCTGGGAAGGTAGCTCAGTGGTAGAGCGCTTGTCTTGCATGCCTGAGGCCCTGGGTTCAATTCCTCAGCACCACATAAGCAAAAAGAAAAAAGCCGGAAGTGGCGCTGTGGCTCAAGTGGTAGAGCGCTAGCCTTGAGCTGAAGAGCTGAGGGACAGCACCCAGGCCCCAAGTTCAGACCCCATGACCGGACCCAAAAAAAACAAACAAAACAAAACAAAAACTTAGATTGCTGTCTTTGGAGAGGGGTAACTACTAAACAAGATGGGAAATATGAAAAGTAATAGGTTTCATTGGAAATGTTAGAAAATAAACGTCAGCCTTCACAAAGGAAATCAAAGTTTCAGGCTTTTATTTAGAATGCTAAACAGAGTTACATAGACACCTATCTTCTATAGAGGAGATGTTGGAGACAATGCAAAGTTGATTTTTTTTTTCTCCTTCATTTTGGTTTAGTTTTCCAGAAGTTCTTGGTATACAGGGCAGTATTTATTATTCAGGCAAATTTACTGCCTTTTTGAGGAGCTATATTCATTGCATCTCACATATTTATAACAACATTTTGGCCCTTATTCTTCATTAAATTGTTGGGGAAAATATATGTACATATTTCTTTTTTTTTTTTTTCAGTGTTGGGGATCAATGCATGAGCTTTGCATGTGCTAAACAAGCATGCTACCAATGAGCTACATTCTAGCCCAGTCTCTGCATTGTCTATTTCTTGGTCATAATTGATACCTCAGGCTGAGTTTTTTTTTTTTTTTTTTTGGGTCCGGTCATGGGGCCTGCACTCTGGGCCTGGGAGCTGTCCCTCAGCTCTTCAGCTCAAGGCTAGCACTCTACCACTTGAGCCACAGTGCTACTTCCAGCTTTTTTTTTTTTCTTTTTTGCTTATATGGTGCTGAGGAATCGAACCCAGGGCCTCATGCATGCAAGGCAAGCGCTCTACCACTGAGCCACCTTCCCAGCCCACTCAGGCTGAGTTTTTGAGATTGCACCTATCTTGGAGCTATGCTAGATGAGCAGAGCACATGGAAGACAGACAATAATTACAAAGAAACTGACCACTCACTTGTCTCTAAGAACAACTCCTTCAATGCATGCACCAAAAAGGACAACGTTGCTCAAGTCTGTCATTCTGAGAGTTAAAGAAACTCATCTTACCCTCTAACATCAGACAGACACTCAGGATAGTTCTATCAGTAAGTGGATTTCTAAGTTCAGTGGTCCCATAAAATCATTCTTGAATTATGCATGTGAGGTAGGCAGATTATCTAGCAACAAGTGAGGTGGTAAAGTTGAGACCATCCTGCTATGATACAACAGTGGTCATCCTACTTATAATGGACTAAGGCTCAGACTAGACCACCAAAAGGATACAGACAAAGGATGTGGTCAGGATGGCAAGAATGGTTCCAATGGGGATGGACTTCTGAGCGTCTTTCAAATCTCCAGACCTGTTTGATCCCGCCATGATACCTTTAGAGAGAGAAAACCAAGTGAACTTCCAGAGTTCCTGGACCCTTGGATATTGGAGACTAAAGACAAACCTAAGAACCCAGAGAACATCATTCTGTCTTTTGATAAAAATATCTTTCTAGATTCACAGCTTCTAGAATAAACAGCCTATGTGCTCACCTGTGACAGAGGGGAAGAAGATGCCCACCAGGAGAGTGAAGGAGGTGGTGATGTCCACAAGCACGTAGTCATGGTTTAAGCTACCCAAGATGTCAGCTGATTTGGCCGAAGGCTTTTCAATGATCTCCCCTTTAGGCAAATAATTACTCCAAAGGTTCTCTGCAGTGGGAATAAAAGATTATAGTTAGAAGCAGTAGGGAAACATGATTACATGGCTTCCTATCCAAACAACATCCATCATCACATACTTCTTGTGTGTGTGTGTATATATGTGTACATATATATATATATATATATATATATATATGTATACACACATACATACACACATACATATACACACATACATATATACACATACATATATACATATATACGTACACACATATATTTGGGGGTGGTGGTACCAGGATTTGAACTCAGAGCTTTGTGCTTGCTAGGCAGGTGTTCTACCACTTAAGCCATCCCCTTAGCCTTATAGAGTATTAGGTCTGATTTTGTTTTCAGGTGCTAAGGATAGAACCCAGAGCCTACACAAGTGCTGTACCACTGAGCTATACCCCACCCCCTGTGGTAGTTTTTAAAAGGTTGTTTGCTTCAACTTAAGCATATATACACATGCTTATACTCACAATAAAACATATAAATAAAAGCTTAATGCTTTTTGATAAGTAATTTTTTTTGGTCCATCATGGGGCCTGGGTGCTGTCCCTGAGCCTCTCTGTACTCAAGCTAGCACTCTACCATTTGAGCCACAGCTCCACTTCCAGCTTTTTCTGAGTAGTTATTGGAGATAAGAGTATGGGGTCTCATGAACTTTCCTGGTCAGGCTGTGAACTGTGAGACTTGGCTCTCAGCCTCCTGAGTAGCTTAGGATACAGGTGTGAGCGCCGGGTGCCCAGCCCCTTTATTATTTTCTATCAGCCATCAGTACAGTTTCTAACATCCTCACATTATCTTGTTTAGTGTGAAAAGGAATCTGTGGAACAAACTTTTATTATAGATGTCAATCAGGGAGAGTTTCAGAAATTTAGCTGTTAGGAAAACACAAGTGCAGACCAGACATGTACAGACCAGGTCACATGTGGTGGCCTAACATTGTTTTACTTTATCTGTCACTGCAGGAAGAACACTGGCTATTTTTCAAGAATACACAAAGCCAGCCAGGCACTGGTGGCTCATGCCTGTAATCCTAGCTATTCAGGAGGCTGAGATCTAAGGATCACAATGCAAAGCCAGCCCAGGCAGGAAAGCCCATAAGACTTTTATCTCTAATTAACCACCAGAAAGCTGTAAGTATATCTATGGCCCAGTGATAGAGTGCTAGCTGTGAGCACAAAAGTTCAGGGACAGCGCCCAAGCTCTGAGTTCAAGTCCCAGGACCAAAAGAATACACAATGCCAGACACAGTGGCTCCTCCCTCAGGAGGCTGAGGCCAGAGCTACTATTAGAGCACAGGAGTTAAGGACCAGCTAAGCAAAAAAGACAAGACACTGACTACCATATTCTAGCCTAAAAAGTGATTTTCTCAGCTGTCAAAAGGGAGTTACATTTTAACAGAATCCACTCTGCAAATAAAGCCCTGGACAGAAGACAATTTCATTAACAAAACAAGCAGAGCGCTACAGTGATGGTGCAAGCCTCTAACTCTAACACTGAGGAGGCTGAAGCAGGGCTGTGAGCTGCAGGGCAGCCCAGACTGCATAGTCAGCGGGAGGCCAGCAGGACTACACAGCTAGATCCTGCTTCTCAAAAAAAAAAAAAAAAAAGTGGGCGGGGTGGGAAGAAAGTGAAGTAGAAATATGCTGAGTTGCGAGTATGAAGGAAGTAGCACCAGGGCAGACTCTTTAGGGATAACAGAGGTCTAAGACAGCAGTGAAGTCCAAGGCTGACACGGGGTTTGACCACCACCACCTGGCAGGAGCCTGGGAGAAAGGTCTAAGTTGGGAAAGCCTGCTCTCCTTGCAGAATAATGTAACTATGTCTAGGAACACCCTCACTTACCTGTGATGATGCCACTAGCCAACCCAGGGATGCCCTGGATTGAAGTGACATTATTGTGAACAAAGTATTCATCGCAGGTGGCATTGAAAAACTGACTTGAGTTACAGAAGAAGCTCCATAATTTGGATGGTACTGTCATGTTGTTAATCTCCTTGGTCTTCGAGCAGATGTCAATGTGTCTTGATGAAAGGGTGCGGTTACCCAGCATGCAAACCCTAAAGGAAAAAAAGGAGTGGGGGGAGGAGAAAGAGGAGATGGAACTCATCTCTAAGAGCTTCTACTAATGTAGGTAGGAAAGAAATTAGGATTGTTCAAAGCACTATGAACAACGACCCGTTTAATCCTTACAGTGATCTCATGATGGATTAGTATTTCTATTCTATGGGTAGAGGGACTGAAGTCTAAATGTACACAGAATTCTGTAAAAGGTCATACAGGTGGCAGGAAGTGGTAGAATTCACCAAGTGCAATGGTTCATGCCTATAATTTCCACTATTTGGGAGGCGTAGATTAGGAAGATCACAGTTTGGTGCCAGTCCAGACAAAATTTACTAATTCTTATTTCAACTAATAAAGCTGGGTTGATGGTACAGTACTGCCCATGATTGCAACTATGCAGATACCCTTGGATAGGAGGATTATAGTCTGAGACAGGCCCTGAAAAACAAAAACAAAACAAAAAAATCCAACCAGACCAACTTGAAAAATTAACTAAAGCAAAAATGTGCTTGGGATGTGGCTCCAGGGGTAAGAACATCTGTCTATCAAGGGCCAGGCCTTCAGTTCAAACCTCAGTATTGTCAATAAGAACTGTGAGAAGGCAGTATATGTTAGTCAGGTGCAGGTGGCTCATGCCTGTAATCCTAGCTACTCAGGAGGCTGAGATCTGAGGATCACGGTTCAAAGTCAGCCCGGGCAGGAAAGTCCGTGAGACTCTTATCTCCAATAAACCACCAGAAAACTGGAAGTAGTGCTGTGGCTTAAGTGGTAGAGCACTCACCTTGAGCTGAAGAGCTGAGGGACAGTGCCCAGGCCCAGAGTTCAAAATGTGTCTCCCCCCCACCCCCACCCGCCACATACCTTTTGCCTTCCTAGGCCAAAGAAAACACTCAAAAACAAACAAACAAAAAAACTTTCATTTATCACAACCCCTTGGGAAATGTTCTGATAAACTTTCTAGCTACTGTTGTAAGAAAGACAGCATAGCTAGAATGAAAAAGCACATCCCTCTCTAGCCTAACAGGAAACTGTTTTGGATTGAAGCTCAGACCCAGAGGGAATGAGAATATTTAAGGATAATACAAATACTAGTTACTTTTTCTTCTACCCAGACTTACAAATACAAACACAAGAATAACACACACTCACACACACACACACACACACACACACACACACACACACACACACACACACACACAGAGTTAAAGTATCTTAGGTAAAAGGAAAGCAACTTTTGGAATCTGAGAAATGATTATATACATACAAATGAACCATGTATCTACTTACTACTCAGTTTCAACAACTTCCAACAATCCTGTTTTGTTTTTTGGTCTTGTTTTGCTGGAATACTTTAAATAAAACACCACTTTTCCCAGCCAGAAAAGAAAAGGAGAAGCCCCAAAGGAGAACCTGAAGCAAAATGGAACTTCCCAAGCTGAGTTATAGCCAAAACATCACCTCTAAACTCTAAATTTTTTATGATTCTAAATGAGACCTTCAGCCATTTTATAACTCCTAGAGAAGCATACCAAAAAGTTATGACAAAAACTATTATTGTATAGCATGACACAGCAAAATACTCAATAGGAGTAAAGAAAAGTCACTAAGGTCATGGTTTTTTGTTTTTTTTTGGTCGGTCGTGAGGCCTGAACTCTGGGCCTCGGTGCTATCCCTCAGCTCAAGGCTAGCTAGTACTCTACCACTTGAGCCACAGCACCACTTCCGGCCTTTTCTACTTACTGTGGTGCTAAGAAATTGAACCCAGGGCCTCATATATGCAAGGCAAGCACTCTACCACTGAGCCACCTTCCCAGCCCCTAAGTTTGAGTTCTTGCTCTACCATTAATTCACTTTATTAAGCCTCATTAGACTTGTGCTTTTTTTATCATGAAAATAGCTACTTTTCTGTAATGTAATTAAATCAACAGATTTGATGAGTTTGATGCTCAAGCAATCCAGATGACCTCTCTTTTTGTGTATGAGTCATGATGCTTGAAATCTGGGCCTAGGCACTATCCCTCAGCAATTTAGCTCAAGGCTAGCATTCTATCACTTGAGCCACAGCACCACTTCCGGTTTTCTGGTGGTTTATTGGAGAAAAGAGTCTTACAGGCTTTCTTGCCTGGGCTGGCTTTGAATCCTCAGATCTCAGCCTCCTGAGTAGCTAGGATTACAGGTGTGAGCCACCAGTGCCAGCACAGATGACCTTTTAAAGACCATCTCTGTAAGAACACTCAGTGCCCTCTAGCCCCTATGTCATAAGATGAGCTTATGACAGATTTGCACAAATCTACTACTTCACAAGTACACTGTAAGGTACTTATATTACAGCATTGAATTTTATCTATGTACAGATAATGCGAATGGTGTGGCATTCATTTTCCTTTATTTTCTGACTAGAAATTTCTAGCATTTATGAAACTAAGATAGAATAAAAAATTTAATAAACCAAGTCAGACAAGAGTCTACAATGCTTGTGACCCTATGAATTTTTCATTAATAAAAGGAATTCAGTAATATGTGATTCCTTATAAAGGTGGCAAGCAATGGCCACACTATTGTAAAGTGGCTTGTGACTGGTTTATCCAACCAATCATCCGTCCATCCGTCTGTCCATCCATCCATCTGTGCGTCCGTCCGTCCATCCACCCATCCATCTATACCTACACATATACAGGTGATCATAATCCAGGGGAAAACACCTAATGCTTCTGTCTGGCTGGTGGGTACTAATGTTGGCTCTGTCTAGGCTCTGTCTAGGTGGTAGGTACTGAGGTTGGCTCTGTCTTAGGATGTAAGGAAGAGGATGAGTAGAGCAGTTTGCTGGGAGGCACCCTGCCACAAAATGGCCAACAGAGAGTTTCACAGAGACTCTATAAAATGCTGACTAACTCATCACTGACTACTACGCCAAGACACAGACACCTACGGGAAGTGTGGTGGGGCGAAGGCAGACTTGATGGCTCCCGCATAGATGGCCAGGATGGAAACAATGACACAAGCCAGGAAAAGTGATGCAAACTTGTTCACATAGCGCACTCCGATGAACACCACCAAGACCATGAGAACCAGGAAGGCTGTGCCATAGACACGCATGTTATTTAGCATGGCTGCTGACTCCTTGAGTGCATCATCACTGCGGAAGACTGCAGCTCGAGGGACGATGTATACCTGTTAGCAGCAATAAAAAAAAAAAGAGCAGCAATAAAACACTTCAAAGCTGAACAAAGAGCTAAAGTCGTTTCCAATTGCTTTTATGAAAGAAAGCCCAGTTGAAGCATAAAACACTTGGAGAATAAGCCCATTTTCTATTTTGATCTAGATGTCTATAAACTGGGATGCCATAGATTTTTCTTTCTACTTGCTGTACTGAATAACTTCATTTCCAAATGGGAAAAAGGAATTAGTAGTAGTAATGCTTTTATGTGTTTTGTGTTGTAGTGTTTTGTAGTAGGGCTTGAATTTAGGGCTTAGGTGCTAACCCTTAGCTTTTTTGCTCAAGGCTGGTGCTCTACTACTTCATAGACAGCTCCTAGCATGCATGAAGCCCTGGGTTTAGTTGCTCAGTACCACATAAACAGAAAAGGCCGGAAGTGGCACTGTAACTCAAGTGATAGAGTGCTAGCCTTGAGCAAAAAGCTCAGGGACAGTGCCCAGGCCCTGAGTTCAAGCTCAGGTCCGGCAAAAAAAAAAAAAAGCATCACCAACTTTCCTTGGGGTGGCTTTGAACCCGAATCCTCAGATCCTGAGTAGCTAGGGTAACAAGCATAAGCCTGAATTACTTTCTTTATTCATAGGGATAAACAAAAGAATAAAAATAACCTTGACCCTGTTTCTTCCAGCACTACTTTTTTATTTTTTATTTTTTTTGGTCGGTCATGGGGCTTGAACTCTGGGCCTGGGCACTGTCCCTCAGCTCTTCAGCTCAAGGCGAGCACTCTACCACTTGAGCTACAGTGCCACTTCCGGTTTTCTGGTGGTTTATTGGAGATAGGAGTCTCACGGTCTCTCCTGCCTGGGCTGGCTTTGAACCGCAATCCTCAGATCTCAGCCTCCTGAGTAGCTAGGATTACAGGCATGAGCCACCAGCACCCAGCCTACTTTATTTTTTATGTTTTTCCTCATGTCTCCCCATTCACAATACAGATATGGCACAGGGCCCGTATTGAGGTATATATGGGGTAGGGTTATTCTGCTCCCGCTTTCTATATAGTTAGCCTAAGAACACAGCATGTGGTAAGTACCAGGAGGCCGGTCACTACTCTCAATAGTAAGAAAACATACCCTAGGTGAGCAAAGACCAGGAAATATTTTGTGTGACTAGGATAAAGATATCAAAAAGACGAGCATTGACTTTTTCCCTGATGGCACTTTAATTTTCTGGTAGAGGTAGTACAGTGATGGCAATCTCTGACAGAAGGAAAAACACAGGCAAGCAAAAGACAGCTCAACCTTCTGCCTCAGATTCACAATCAAGCCCAGTAACAGTGAGCTGTCAGTCACTCAACTGATGCATAAAGCTTATTTCTCATAAGCTCTGATACCCAAGGACAAAATAAATGCAAATCTCTATCTATACTTTATTGTAGACCATGATTAAGTCATTACTCACCAGAAAAATTTCAATGGCACCAAGGATATACATGGCTGCTGCAAATGTGGTACCAAGGTAAAAGCAGAGGCCAACAGCTCCACCAAACTCAGGGCCCAGTGCCCGGGAAATCATAAAGTATGAGCCCCCAGCTAAAAGACAAAACAGAGTGAACATGGTCAGGAGAGTTCAGCAGCAAGAAGGATGGAAAGAAGTCATAAGCATCTGTATGAAAGATGAATGTCTCAGGTCTTTGAAAACTGTGTAGGCCAGAAAATAGGTCCTATTTGCAGGATGTGTTATAGGATATACTGCACATCAGTACAGGAAGCAGTACATCATAGCACTATTAGAAAAAGAAAATCAGAGTATTTACTAAAAGCATAAGATAGGCCAATAAATATATTCTAAGAATCTAAGAAAGTGACTGAAATTAGAGCACTGCAGTCTAGAAAACAATGAGTTTTTTCTATGTCTTTGGTTAGGGCTCCATGCTTGCTAAGCAAGCCCTGATACTTAACAAATGTCCTAGCCCTAAACTTTGCTTCACATTCTCTGTCAGCCTTTGCATTATTTGAGTGTGTATGTAGAATAATACTGGAATTTGTACTCTGGGCCTCATACTTGCTAGGCAAGTGCCCTAGAAAATCATTTTGTAAAGCCAATCCTAAAGCCAAATAGTGTTATTGCTATAGCCTGCAGACATTTATTCTCCTAGACTTCGGCATCCGTTCCTTGGAAGTTTGTACCGTACCTCTGGCTTTATAGCACAAATACACAGTAACTGCCTACTAACCTGGCACCACTCCGTTAGTGGCAATGGCACTCATGGAGATAGCAGTCAATATTGTCTATAGAAAGAGCAGAACAAAACGTTGTTACAGCATGAAGGGGACTCTTCTGAATTTTTTTTCTCCCATCTGTGAACCTCAGAGCATCTACTAAATACTCAGCTCTACCTGCTTTTGTAGAGGGAGCTGGTATAAGTAACAGTATGGAAATGAGACAATGTGGCAGTTCTACTGCACTAATCACATGAACATTACCAGAAACTGATGGTTAAAATAGCCCTAACATTCAAACCAGTACATCAGGTGTTGCTAAGAACCATGGATGGCTGGGAGTGGTAGTGCTTGGCTGTAAACCACAGCCTTTGAGAACCCAAGGCAGAAGGATTTGAGTTTGAGACCAGAAAGGGCTACATAGCAAGACCCTGTCTTGACCAGATTAAAACAGCACAAAACCCTGAAGTCACCTTGAATCTCCTAGTTAATGAGAAATAAAGCATGAGATACTTAAAAAAGAATAGCCAGAGCCGGGCGCCGGTGGCTCACGCCTGTAATCCTAGCTACTCAGCAGGCTGAGATCTGAGATTTGCGGTTCAAAGCTAGCCCAGGCAGGAAAGTCCCTGAAACTCTTATTTTCAATAAACCACCAGAAAACCGGAAGTGGCACTGTGGCTCAAGTGGTAGAGTGCTAGCCTTGAGCTGAAGAGCTGAGGGACAGCGCCCAGGCCCACAGTTCAAGACCCATGACTGACCAAAAAAAAAAAAGAATAGGAGGGGAAAACATGTTAGAATCTGAAGACTAGCTATGATACCAAGAACAATATTCTGTAATCAAGAGAATAACTAAAAATGTGAGTACATAACAACTGTACTCAAAAGAAAACATGACCTAGCACAGTACAGAACAAATTGCAGAGAATGAGTAACTAGAGCTAGAGGCAAGGGGCTCAGCAAGGGGCTAAAGCAATGGTGCTGGTAGTGGGAGTAAAATGGAAAAGTTGGATGTACAAGTTTCAGAAGAGGACAGATTGGCCTGAAGAGCTGACTAGATATGGGAAGAAAGCCAAGCGTCAAGTATGTCTTGCAAGTTTCAAGCCTGAGAAAATGAGAAGAAATGCTAGTACCATGAAATTATTACACGGTCACTGTTACTTATTAGCCTGCTTTGTATAGTTCTCAGCTGAGGACAAGAATGAAGGAGGCAAGGAAAAAAAGAGAACAGTAGAAATATGTAATGAAATGGACACATATGACTAAGATATATAAGAAAAGGAGTTCTCAGTGTAGGGGAGAGAAGACCTGAGCTGCAGGAAATGGTGAGGGAACTTCAAAAGCAAACCAAATGAAACTGAACTGCAGGGAGGGATGAGGAAGGCGAAGCTGCACCAAATCAAACCCACCAAATAACTGTCAGCTTTGATTCTGAATGCATGTTGAAGTAGTGCACCACTTTTTAAAATATAATCTGTTACAACTTTGGTTCTACCAAACTCAACATGATTCGGATTTTGACTTCTTTGAAGACGAGGACTTTATCTTTCACTCCAGATGAAGCCTTGCCTTATAATTAATTTCTAGTTCATCAGAATAGCTAGCAAGCAATTAACAGGCACTGAATGAAAAAAAAAAATTTATGCTGGTCCTGGGGCTTGAACTCAGGGCCTGGGTGCTGTCCCTGAGCCTCTTCTGCTCAAGGCTTGTGCTCTACCACTTGAGCCACAGTGCCACTTCTGACCTTTTCCGAGTAGTTTATTGGAGATAAGTCTCCCAGACTTTCCTGCCCAGGCTGGCTTTGAACCATGATCGTCAAATCTCAGCCTCCTGAGTAGCTAGGATTACAGGCGTGAGTGAAAGGCACCCTGCATTAAAGAAAAATTCTCTAGATTTTAGTATCAGCATGCTGTCTCTTGTTGAGATAGTGCATCTTTTAAAATTTTTGTTTTAGTTCTGCAGAGATCAAGTGCACAAATTCTCAGGAAGTTCACAGTAGGAAACCATCTCCAGGAGCAAGTGCAGGACTTACACAGCAGCAGCAGATAAGGACAATTATAAAGGCCTGAAGAACTCCGGCAGTGCCCACTACCCATGTAAGCCGCAGAAACAGAATCACTCCAAAAATATTTTGTAGACATGGGAGGTAGACACCCATGAAGGTGCCCATTTGGGGCGTCTGGGAAGAAAAATGCAGACAGAAGGAAAAAAATTACACAATCATCTCCATAATAGATACATTAATTCTTTCCCCGTGTGTGTGTGTGTGTGTGTGTGTGTGTGTGTGTCTGTGTCTGTGTGTGTAAATGTGCATGCTAGTATGGAGCTTGAATTTGGGGCCTTGTGCTTTTTTACTCAATGCTGGTACCCTTCCATTCTACCTACCTCTATATGTTTTAATTAGACACAGTCATTTGGCCACAAACAAACTTAAGTGTGTCCCAAACAAGAAAAATTGGCTTTAGGAAGTGGCACTGTAACTCAAGTGGTAGAGCGCTTGCCTTGAGCTGAAGAGCTGAGAGACAGCGCTCAGGCCGAGTTCAAATCCCACAACTGACCCAAAAAAAAAAAAAAAAATTGGCTTTAGTCTTTTAAAAACCCAACAATTTCTGGGGTATGATGGAATACCTATAATCCCAACATTCAGGAAGCTGAGGCACAATAGCAAATTTAAGAACAACATGGACTACATGGCAAGACCCTGTCTCAAAAAAGCAAAGAAGCCAGACACCAGTGGCTCATGCCTGTAATCCTAGCTACTCGGGAGGCTGAGATCTGGGGATAATGGTTCAAAACCAGCCTGGGAAGGAACATCTGTGAGACTTATCCATGAGACTTACCTCCAATAAAAATAACAAAAAATGCCTGAAGTGGTGCTGAGGCTCAAGGGTAGAGAGCACAAGGGGTAGCTTTGAGCACAAAAGCTCAAAAAAAAAGTGTCCAGGCCCTGAGTTCAAGCCCCAGGACCAACCCCCCCCCCCAAAAAAAAAAAAAAGCTATCAGGGCACCAGTGGCTGACCCCTATAATCCTAGCTATTCAGGAGGCTGAGATCTGAGGATCATGGTTCAAAGCCAGCCTGGGCAGGAAATTCCATGAGACTTTTACCTCCAATAAACCACTAGAAAACGAGAAGTAATGCTGTGGTTCAAGTGGTAGAGTGTTAGCCTAGAGCTGAAGAGTACAGAGACAGTGCTTTGGCCCAGAGTTCAAGCCCCACCACTGACAAAAAAAAAAAAAAGCCAAACCAAACTTAAACTCCTCCCACTTCCCCACCACAAGAACTTGACGACTGGCAGGTGGCACAGATGTGCTATTCTCTCTCCATGGAATGCTGTTCTCCTACCCTGCTCAACCTCCTCACAGTGATTAGGTCCCTGCTGAACACTGCCTTGTCAGAGGGGTATTTCCTGCCTGACCTGAAGCAGAAACATGTCTGAAGGGAGGAATCGTTTTCCCTCCCCTCAGTCTCTTTAACTCTGCTCAATTTCTGTTAAAGCATCTCTCAACATTTAATGTGTTACATACTTCAGCAGAATTAAAACAGCCTGAGGACTTCCCATGTCTCTTCACATGACAGCTAAGGACACTGCATGATCTGAGATCAGTGCCCAGAACTGTGCTTACATATAACAGGCATTTATTTGATACCAAGTAGTACCTTGGATGTCCCCTCCTTCCTTGTATACCTTATCTACCTGTGTTACTCTAAAGCCTCACCTTGGTGGGTTTCTTTTTTCCTTCAGTGATATTTTCAGCTTCTTCATGCTCCTTTGCTCCTTGTGTCAGATTAGTGTAATTGGCCATGCGATTAAGAAGAGAGGACACCTTTGGTCTTGTGTCCATTTCTTCCTACAAAGCCAGAAATATGGAAGGAATGAAAAAAAATGCCAAAAGTAAACTTTCTAACAGCAAACTGGAAAGTATGTCTAAATCAGATAAAACGTATACATGTCTTCTTGTGCTAAGTGAAATGAGCTATGCACAGAAAGACAGGTGGCCACAGGATTTTAGTTGCATGTGTAATCCAAGGGTTGAACTCACATAAGCAGAAGAGAGTGGCGGTTACCAGAGGATGGGGTGGGAAATGTTCTAGATCTACAGGAGGAAATCATTTTTTCAGATCTAGTGCGTTTCAAAAGTATAAAGTAAAAATCCCAATATTTCTACTAAAAACATGTAAGAGGTGATATGCTAATTAGATTGATCTAGACACTCTACAATGTATACATAAGTGAAATGTCACATTTTGCCTCAAATACTTACAATTATTATTTGCACTTAAAATATACTTACAAGACCCTTACAAATCTGGCAGCCTGCTTTCTACAGTGACTTCTGTTTAATTAGTTGTAAGGTCCTTCAAACAGGACAAACAGTGTTCTTTGTACTTAAGAGGATTATTCCAATGTAAATTAGATTGAAAAATTCTCCATGTTTAAGAAGTCCATTTTTGTCTTCCTTACTTCGTAACATTTTACTGTAATTTTTTTGTACAAAAGTAAACACAACAAGAAGCTATAACAAAACTATTATGATTTAATGCTAGTTATTACATTATCCAGCTTCGATCATTTTAAAACCAGATAGAGAAGACAATTATCTTAAGGTCTCTGTTCCTGTTCATAGTTTTTTCCCACATATTACCTCAAAAAGTGCCAAGTTTTTATCAAAATATTCATCTCCTTCTTCATAATTGGAATTGTTGAGATAAGCATTTCTAGCTTTCTTATGTCCATCATCTGGAAAAAAAAGGTGAACCATGTTAGTTTCTCATTGCTACAGAAGACACACCAGCACTGCATAGCTAAGCACCACCTCTGTGTTAAGAGAAAACATGTTTCATATTCAAATGTAGTCTTAAGATTGCAGCACTGCTTCCTTCCCAGCAGGGGAAAAACAGGTATCTAGAGAATAAACACAGGTCTTCCTTCTCTGAATTCAACAATTTCTACACACACTGTTTCTTCAGAATGCCAGCCTTGTGAGGCCCTACTCTTGAAGTTATCCAACTATATGTGAAAAAAACAGAATTTTATTCCTGATACTGTGGTTTAAACTCAGGGTCTTGTGCTTGCCAGGCAAGCTCCTGGCTTGACACACACTCTCAGCTCTTGGCTTTATTTTTCTAATAGTGTCTTACATTTATACTCAGGCTAGCCTAGAACACCATCCTATTTATGCTTCTTGTATAGATAGGATGTAAAGCACAAGCCCCGTCCCAACTCCTTGTTGGTTAAAACAGTCTCACTAACTTTTTGTCTGGCTTAGCCTTGAGCCATGATCTTCCTGATCTCTAACTACTGAATAGCTAAGATTACAGACATGACTAGCTGAAAAATACTGAATATTTAAGTACCTACTCAATGTATAATACTGTTCTAGACATGGCCTATCAAACACACTGTTGCAGCTGATAATGGGGAGAAAAATCTCTGTCCACAGAGCTGTCTGACCTCTGGCTTGTGAACTAGGTCAAGAATATTCTTTACAAACCTTTCCATGTTTTTTATTTGTTTGTTTTTAATGTGAAAAGAGGTACTGAACAGATATTTGATGAACCAGCTGTGAAGAAAAAAAGAAGAGTAATTCCCAAAGACAACCACATTTGTGTTGAGTCCTTTTTGGGGGGTTTTCATTGTATAAAAAGTTATACAGTTGCACAGTATGACAGAAAACAAACCTATATGAATGCCCTCTAAAAACCAAGATTTTCAAATTTGAAGAAAGATACTAATATAAAAATCAAGAAAACTAGCCGGGCGCCGGTGGCTCATGCCTGTAATCCTAGCCACTCAGGAAGCTGAGATCTGAGGATCGCGGTTCAAAGCCAGCCCGGGCAGGAAAGTTCGTGAGACTCTTATCTCCAATAAACTGCTAGAAAACTGGAAGTGGTGCTGTGGCTCAAGCGGTAGAGCACTCGCCTTGAGCTGAAGAGCACAAGGACAGCGCCCAAACCCAGAGTTCAAGCCCCACGACCAACAAAAAAAAAAAAAAAAATCAAGAAAATGTAAATCATAGGAATGCATAGATAGACACACAGGTATAGAAATGTATTTATGACCAGTCTAGGAAAAGCCAGCGAGCTGCTGGCATGACTGGTCATGTCCTAGAACCCAGGACCAGCCTAAACGAGTTCCTCATGGTCACAAGTGGAAATAATAAGCATTAAGCATAAATAATGCAATGTAGTACAACATAGGCAGGTGAAACACCCAAAATACTATATTTAAAAATTGGTTACCTCTATGGGCTATAACTGAAAGGTAACAGAAGGAAAGAGTCAGGTGATTATCCTGCCTTTTTTGTGCTAATTATATTTCAGGCTGACTAATGCACGGCAACTGATTTATGATAGATCACACGAAAGGTAGTGAAAACATCGCCAGTAAGCAGCTTTTAATGAGAACGCTGGGCCTGGGCAACGGGTCTGCCAGCTGTTAGATTACTGAGTGAAGGCTGGGGTAGAGCATCCCACAGTGCAGGGCAGCCATCCAGCACAGCCAGCATGGCCACTGCCCGTGCAACACACCCCAAGAAAACGCCACAACTCAGGGTGAGGTCCAGCCCAGAAAACAGAACCCAAATCCAGCTGAGCCAGAGAACACCAAAGATGAACATACTAACCATTACTACAAAGACATTAAGAGCAAACTCTGGATGTAGCAATTCAACATGTGCCAAATCATCTGATTTGTTCAGCAAATACATGGTATAAAGTAAAAAAGGTGAACTCTCCAGACTAAAAGAGAGCTCGGAGTCACTTCATGGAGCTGGAGGAGTAGTTCAAGTGGTAGAGTGTCAGCTGTGAGTAGAAATACCGAGAGGCCCTGAGCTCAAGCAAGAGAAAGAGATGTAGAGGAAAAAGAGAGGGAGAAAAGGGACAAACAGGTTTATCCTATCTATCAATCACTGTTCAATACAAGGCTTAGGAGAAATCTGAATTAAACAAGTCAGATGTAAGCAGTCATTTTTGAAACAGAAATTTGACTATGTATTAGCATGTAAAGAGTAAGTAAAATCATGTGTTATCAGTTTACAAAATGTCTTAAAGAAACATCCAGTCAGGAAGGGACTTGAAAACTGAGTGAAGTCATTGTCAAAGCTGGGTAAGGAAATTCAGACATTGTGCACACCCTCTAAGTAAAGGATTTTACTATTAAGAATTTATCCTACTAATCATGAGATTACAAGGACACCAGTACAAGATGCTCAGAGCAATGTAATTTGTAGCAATACCACTCCTAGGAATAGCCTAAATTATCATAAAGAGGAAGCTGGCAGAATAAAATTATCGCTGATACACAATAGTACTCTACCACATACGAATGAGACAGACGTTTACATACCTATAACTGGCAAAATACAAACAAATACAGCCTTAAAAACCCAGTCTATAGAATAGAAAGGCCTGTTTAATTTAATCCTATTGATATAAAAGAAAAAAGACTTACAATTAAAATTTTCTGGAGTTCCCAAGAAACTTGTCAATAATAAGTATTTGGGAAATGTGGAAGTGAAGTAGTGAGAGAAGAGATAGTTGAGGGTTTATTTCAAGCAGTTTTGATTCAGTGTGGTAGGTGAGTGGATAAGAGATAGACAGAAATAAAGAGAGAGAGAGAGATAGGTGGATGGATAGATGGATTGATGGAAGGATATTGTAAATTCCCATGAATGTCTTCTTTTTTTTTTCCCCCTCAGTCGTAGGGCTTGAACTCTGGGTCTGGCGCTGCCTCTCAGCTCTTCAGCTCAAGGTGAGCGCTCTACCATTTGAGCCACAGCACCACTTCCCCCATGAATGTCTTCTGCAGCTCAGTGGATATGGAGAAGTTCCCATATTACCTTCAGTGTGTTATCAAATGTATTTATTTTGTGTAAAATCTGCCTCCCCAAAAGCAAGTGCTTAAAAAGCAAGATAAGAGTAAATGTACATAAGAGAAGTAATAAGGTAAAAATATGAAGTTTGTTGAAAGTCAGCATGTGATTAGAAGCTGTATGGCATTACAGAAAAATAAATCTAGCATCCCACAGTACTGTACTGAACACTGCATCCTGAGCATTCATGGTTTTTCTCAATGGCAGGCTCCTTGAAAGCATATACTGACAGATACCAGGGGAATACTGTACTTCCAAGAACTTTTGCTTTCTTTGCCCTATACCTTTTGTGTGGTCTGGATTCCCTTCTTGTTAGAGTATGTCTGACCTGGATATTGAGACAAATTTCCAGTTTTGAGAGCTTATCAAAATTTTATCAAATTAGGTTTACTAATACCTGCAGGAAATCAACTCACTTCCACAACTTGTTTCACAGATGAAAAACTGGAGCACCAATTTCTATGGAATACTTAACATCATGAAGTTATGAAGTACTCTCAGTTATTAAAATGAAGGTGATCAAAGACCAAGAAAAAACACTAAAAAGGGAAAAGTAGCTACAAAAGTCAAATATTACATGCTATAATTCTCAGACTATTTTTAGCCACGGACTGTGTAAATTACTTTTTTGTGTGTGGGTCATGGGGCTTGAACTCTGGGCCTGAGCACTGTCCCTCAGCTCTTTAGTTCAAAGCTAGTGCTCTATCAGTTGAGCCACAGTGCCACTTCTGGTTTTATCGTGGTTTAGTGGAGATAAGAGTTTCATGGCCTTTCCTGCCCTGGCTGGCTTTGAACCGCGATCCTCAGATCTCAGCCTCCTGAATAGCTAGGATTACAAGTGTGAGCTACCGACCTCCGGCTTAAACTGCTTTTTAATATAACTTATTTGAGTCACAGTTATCAATTACATAAGTATTGCCCTAAAGCTTACCAAGTTGGAAATAGAAATGGCAAGAAAAGAGTGAAGGTAAAAAGTAGAAAAGGAGGTGATGGGAACAGGAAACAATAGATACTTTTCTAAAGGAGGGATTCACACTACAGAGTATAGGCAGGTGAAGGTGTGTCCACAGAGCCACTCCCAGAATGATACTGTACCTAGCAGCTGGCTGTGCTCCCCTGTGATGGAGTTCTGATTCGGGTCTGAAAAACAAACAATTGAAAAGAAAAGAAAAAAATGAATGCTCAAAACAAACAAGTTTAAAAAATGTATCAACAAAGGCCAACCAAGGAAATAAGCAAGAAACAAACCAAAAAACACAACCAAAATAAAACTACAAGAAACATTAATGAAAGAGTAACAAAAATAGAATAAACTATTATAAAAAATGACATTCCTCAGATGGTTATACACTGAATTACGTGACCCAACAATTCCACTTCCAGGTATACACCCAAAAGCTGAAAATACAGACTCAAATACTTGTGACAAAGATTACAACAGCATTACTCACAATAGCCAAAAGACAGAAAGAAGCCAAGCTGTCCTCTAACAGATCAAAGCACACACAAAATATGGCACCTACACAGGCTGAAACAGTATTCAGCTGTAAAAAGAATGAAATTCTGGTATGTGCTACACCACAGAAAAAACTTCAGAACATACACGGTTAAATAAGCCAGGCTAAAGGACAGATACTGTATGATCATGCCGTTTATATGGAATATTGAGAAAAAGCAAATTTATCAAAACAGTAAGTAGATTAGTGGTTAAGGGGAGGTGGGTAAAGTACCAAATGGGGTCTTATTACCTAGTGAGTACAGAACTGCTATTTGGGATGATGAGAGACTCAGGAAATGGAGTGTATAACAATGAAGATTTAATTCATACCATGAAATTGTACATTTAAAATTTAAACTGGGGAAGTGGAGCTGTGGCTCAATGTGTCAGAGCACTAGGGCCAAAGAGCTCAGGGACAGCACCCAGACCCAGAGTTCAAGCCCTATGACCAACCAACAACAAAACAACAAGTTAAACTGGGCTGGATGCCAGTGGCTCATGCCTGTAATCCTAGCTACTCAGGAGATCTGAGGATCCTGGTTCAAAGAGCCAGCCCAGGTAGGAAAGTACATCATGAGACTCTAACCACCAGAAAACAGGAAGTGGTGCTGTGGCTCTAAGTGGTAGCGCACTAGCCTTGAGCACAAAGAGGCTAAGGGACAGCTCCAGGCCCTGAGTTCAAGCCCCATGACAAAAAAAAAAAAAGTAAATTAAAAATATCACACATATTTGACAATAAAGCATCATGGGGGGCCTATGAGTTGAACTGGGATATCTTAATGACACAGGGATATGTTCTGATGATACAGCCAAGTCAAAATATGAATAAAAAGTCTGATTAGACTTCAAGACAAAACAACTAAGCTAGCTTTAGTAAATACCTATTGCTTCAGTAATATGAATTAAAACTAGAGACCAAGACTATAATGCAAGAGATATCAGTAATCATCATTTAACAATAAGTCACTCCTGCTTATTTTTAAAGGCTTGAAAAGCATTAAGGGGTAAATACAGAAAAGACCCTGAGGTCCCATTTCCTTTAAGATCAAATCTCTTGAGACACTGAGGATTACATCTTGCTTCCTTTTAAGTATCTGAGGGAATAAAAATAAATGTAGACCAGGAAGTGTGTTGACAATGGGAAGAAATTACATCTTTATTTTCATTAAACCTCATTTAAATTTAATATTTGCTCCAATTACCCAAGAAGGCCACAAACTACATAAAAGGACCTATCATTCTGTCAATAATAAATATCAGGATAACTTGTTTTAGGCTACTATACTTGGTTTTAGAGAAATCCAAATAATACTTTCATGGTCCACATATGTTTTATATATGTATCATTCAACTAAATGTAACTCTTTAAAATGTGCATCCTTGGCTAAGAATATGGCTCAGTGGTAGAGTGCTTGCCTAGCACACATGAAGTCCCAGGTTAATTCCTTAGTACCACACAAATAGAAAAGGCCGGAAGTAGCACACGACCTAAGTGGTAGAGCGCTAGCCTTGAGCAGAGAGAGGCTTAGAGACAAAGCCCAGGCCATAAGTTCAAGCCCCAGGACTGGCAAAAAAATAAAAATAAAAAACATGCATGCCAGGGGTAGAGATGTAGCTCCAGGCAGCCTACTTTTAGCATTCACAGGACCCTGGGTGGGTCCTCAGAACCATAGTCAGTCAGCCAATACTCAAGGAAATGGTCAGAATGACAAATTCTAGCATGAGACATATATTCAAGTATTCTCTACCTACTATCACCAAGGAGAAAAAAGAACAGCAACCTAACGTTTTATATGTTATGTGAATGTTTTAAGAAATATTTTCAGAGGATTTTCTTCCTTTAGACTATGAGGAAGATAAATTCCAAATTTTCTGCTCTAGGAAATCTTTCCCACCACACCAACAAATGCACTTCTAGGTTTTTACTTTAATATTGGTTAGAGTACCAGGGACTTATGCATGCTGGGCATGAGGACACTCCAGCTTTCACTTTAACGCCTTATCTAAACATACACTAACAACTGTTCGCACACCTAAGACACAGAAGAGACAACTCTTTAGTAAACTAATGCATTAGACTAATGTCCCTCCACCATCTCTCTAGTAGGGAAAAATGGAGTCCTATCATTATAGAGGAGCAGGTGTATAAGTGGCCATGACAGAAAAGCAGAGTCAAGGAACATTCTAAGTGGAAAGCCTGTGTCACCAACCAGCTCTACTGACTCTGGGAGAGAAAATGGGGGCTTATTCCTGTCCTCTGTTTTTCTTTAAAGTACATCAAAGCTCCTCTCCAAGACTTCAGTTCTTGTAACTCTCAGGGTTGCTCAGACAGAAGTTGAAACCCTCATCAATTGCTGTGATGGATTAATAAGTGGCCAAAAGGCTAAAGATAGTCTACATGTGTGTGTTTGGACGTGTGTTTGTGTGTGTGTTAGTAGAGATTGAATTTAGGGCCTCATGCATGCTAGACAAGTGCTCTACCACTGACACCTCCAGCCCAAGATACATTCTTTTATTTTTTTTTTAAATTTTTTTTGGGTCCAGTCATGGGGCCTGAACTCTGGGCCTGGGCACTGTCCCTCAGCTCTTCAGCTCAAGGCCAGTGCTCTACCACTTGAGCCACAGCGCCTCTTCCAGCTTTTTTTTTCTTTTTTTTTTGCTTATGTGGTACTGAGGAATCGAACCCAGGGCCTCATGCATGCAAGGCAAGCGCTCTACCACTGAGCCACCTTCCCAGCCCCCAAGATACATTCTTAATGATTTGAAAATCAAAATCAATATTCACAATTCTCACTGCTCTGCATATATATATATATATATATACATATATATATACGTACATGTTTACATGTTGACATATATATGCATTTTTCTAAAACAAAGTATAATAGCACAAAACAAGTTATCTGGAATTGCCATGTTCTATTCATGTTTCTATACTCTATGCCAGATTTCTTTCTTTCTTTCTTTCTCTCTCTCTCTCTTTCTTCCTTTCGTTCTTTTTCCAGGAAGAAAAGAGTTTATTGGAGGGAGAATAAACTGCGGGCCAGTATGAGAGAAGAGAAGAAAAAGAGGCCCATGTTTCTGTTCGTGTTATGGCATATGAATAGAAAAACTACCAGATAACTCAGGCTGACTAGGAATGGTTTTAAGGAAGAAAATATAGATGATTAAAAAAAAAAAGAACCCTGTAGTATATAATATACTCCTAATATATCTTCTAAGCTAGGCATGAGTGCCTTCTCCTGTTAAGCTGAAACCCTTTTAACACTCTTCCAGTTGAAATGGGTAGAACAAGTGTTGTGCAGTTCCCAAAAAGATTTTTGTGTTTGGGTGCTAGTCCTGAGGCCTGAACCCAGGGCCTGGGCACTGTTCCCGAGCTTCCTGCTCAAAGCTAGCCCTCTACCACTTCAGTCACTGTTCCACTTTCAGCTTTTCTGGGGTAGTTAATTGAGAATAAGGGTCTTGTGCCCAGGCGGGTTCTGAACCGTGATCCTCAGATCTCAGACTCCTGAGAAGCTAAAATTACAGGTGTGAGCCACTGACCCCCAGCTGGCTTGCTTGCTTGCTTTTCTTCCTTCCTTTCTTTTTTTTTTTGTCGGTCATGGGGCTTGAACTCTGGGCTTGGGCGCTGTCCCTCAGCTCTTCAGCTCAAGGCGAGCGCTCTACCACCTGAGCTACAGCGCCACTTCCGGTTTTCTGGTGGTTTATTGGAGATGAGTCTCACAGCCTTTCCTGCCCAGGCTGGCTTTGAACCATGATCCTCAGATCTCAGCCTCCTGAGTAGCTAGGATTACAGGCATGAGTCACCAGCGCCCGGCTTGCTTGCTTGCTTTTCTTTCTTTCTTTCCTTTCTTTCTCTTTTCTGGTCAGTCGTGGGGCTTGAACTCTGGGCCTGGGCGCTGTCCCTGCACTCTTTAGCTCAAGGTGAGCGCTCTACAGCTTAAGCCACAGAGCCACTTCCGGTTTTCTTGTTTATTGGAGATAAGAGTCTCACAGAGTTTCCTGCCAGGGCTGGCTTTGAATTGCGATCCTCAGACCTCAGCCTCTTGAGTAGCTAGGACGAAAGGTGTGAGCCACGGGTGCCGGGCACTTTATTTTTGAGAAAGTTTCACTATATAGAATAGGTTTGTCTACAACTCACTATGTTGCCCAGGTCCTCCTACCTCAGTCTCCTAACAAGACTCTCTCTCTCTCTCTCTCTCATCAATCATGGGGCTTGAACTCTGGGCCTGGGTGCTGTCCCTGAGCTCTTCAGCTCAAGGCCAGAGCTCTACCACTTGAACCATATTGCCACTTTCAGTTTTCTGGTGGTTTATTGGAGGCAAGTCTCACAGACTTTTCTGCCCAGGCTGGCTTTTAACTGCAACCCCCAGATCTCAGTCTCCTGAGTAGCTAAGAGTACCGGCATGAGCCACCAGCACCCAGTAAGTCTATCTTCTTTATATAATACATTCTGAATTTATTGCAAGGTAGACTTAGAAAAAGCATGGTATTAATGGAGTTTAAATAAACAAGGGATAAAATAGTAACTTCAGATGGAAATGAAAATCAATGCATACAAAAAGTTAATTTTTATTTTATTTATTTTGGTTATATTATGGTTTGCACTAAGGGCTTCACACTTGGTAGGAAAACACTC